TGGATGCTAATTACTTATATGACAAGGTCATGACTCAGTGTTTGTCTCTGGATGCTAATTACTTATATGGCAAGGCCATGACTCAGTGTTTGTCTCAGGATGCAAATAACTTATATGGCAAGGCCATGACCATTTAAGGTACCACACAATTTTTGACGCTATATCAGAGTGACATGATAAAAAGGGTCATTAAGCTTATTATCCAATAACGTACAAGACATAATAATATCTGGTTTTTTATAAAAAAACATACTTTAATTGCATTATTGGTATAAATACAACTGAATTTATAAATTACAGAGTTGGGCTGTTAATATTTTATGTACAAAACTTACTAAAATGTCGAAATTTAAGTTTTAGCCGACATTATGGTTTTCTAGCAAGAAACACTTTACAGTACTTACAGTTAGCTTAGCCTACATAAAATAAAATGAATAATGAAATTTAAAAATAAAAATTTTGAAAAATAAAAAAACCATAATATTGAATTATCAGTAAAAATAATATTGAATGATCGATCAGTAAAAAAAGAGCTTACAAATGAAATCCAACTGCTGGTAGAAATCTGTAATTTTCTTCTGTACATTCCTCTCAGAAAAGTAGTTTTTCTCCATCATTTTGTGGAAATGCTGCCTGCTGTGTGGTAGCAGAAGCATCCCTGTGCGGAAGAAACAACAAACTTTCTCAGCCGCTTAGAATGCCTCTTACGTAGTCAGACAGACGCCTTCATCTTCATCTTCTTCTGTGTTTTCTTCTGTTTGTAAATTGTGTACCTCATTAACAATTTCTGTGTCAAGCATTTGGAAAGTTTCAACATGGTCTTCGACTGATGCCCACCCAACAAGATCCCGCCCAAAATCAAGTTGGTTAGTATAAAATTTCTTTACTCCTTTCTGATAGAGGTGAACCATCTTCATATTCGTCATCAGGAACAGCAGCTGAAATTCCTGCTTTCCTGAAGCATTTGGAGATTGTCTGTCCTTGACATCAAACTGGATGGAATCCAGTTATGTTCACTTGTTGTGCAGTGTGCATGCAGATTATTATTTTTTTACGCTACTTTCGTTAGTGACACTTAAAGCTTTGTATAACGCTTTAGTCCATTATGCTTGTGCAGTTGGCCGGAAAAAACACAAGCTCAATCTTGGCCAACTCCAATTTTGGTGGCGCTGCACATTATTGTCAATAAGGAGAAGTATTTTCCTTTTGTTTTATGACAGCTCTCTGTCCCACTTCCTCAATTCTTATTCTGAATATGGCAGAGGCCATTCATGCTTTCTTGTTGGCTGTGTAAGTTACAGGCAGCTTATTTTACATTTTTAAAACATGTATGTAGGCCATGCACTTTTTCTGATAACTAGAAGGTTCCTTTTTTCTAACCCCGTCACATATGCACAAACAAAATGAAAATTTTTGATAATTTTCTGCTGACACATTTTTAAATTGGAAGGTTTTGTCTGGGATCAATTTGTAGAAAAGTCCAGTCCCATCTTTTCCAAAGCATTTTCCTTCAAAAGTGGACCAGACAAGGGGATGTTAGAACCATATTAAAAGAGCTGCATCAATATCACTGCAATCACATCCTTTGAGTCTTTTGACGTTCACCCCATGTTCTTCAAATGCTTTCACAATTTTGTCCTTTTGATCCAAAAGTGGAATTGGCCAATCCAAACTCCAGACACACATCTGCTATCATGCGTCCGTCTTCACACACTCTTATAACACACACTTTCTTTTTTTGGCAAAACCTTATGTTTAACAATTGCCATGGTTACCGAATACTTATTAATTAGTTTAAGAGAATGTCGGCACTGTTCAATACTGAGAACAAAATCTTTTGATAGGCTCGTACACAGAGTTTTATTTGTTGACACAAAACTAGTCTTGGCGACACTGACCTAAAGACAAGGTTCCTGAACCACCTGCCAAGATGGATTCAGGACAATGTAGTCTAGAGGTGGGTTGATGGACAGGACAACAACCTTGTAGGGACGGGGAGGGTAGATGCCCCGGAACAATGTCAGAATAGGGAGGGTGAATGCAACGACGATAGCTCAAGGCCGTATCTAAAAATAAGAGTGTGTGAAAATACGTCTGTGCTCCACTAAATTGCGAACATCGCACAATTCAGCCATTTGTACAAGGTTACTTTGTTACTTAGAGTGGGATCTAGTTGACGTTATATAAAAAAACTTATCTAGTTGAGGATTTAAAATCTTTTGACGATAAATCAAAGGTTTTACCAATGCTTACACTTTTAAGTTTGGCTGGACTTAGGCTTGGATGGCGTTATATTTATATCCGTGTTGACATTATGGCCAAGGTCGTAATAACCAAATTGCACTGTATATTGTGATGTTATAATCTGCTAACATGTTTAGGTCAATTAATTTTGATTGATCCATACCAGTACAGTAAAATCCCGTTTTACCGAAATAAAGGGTGCGGACTGTTTTGTATAACCCATTTTTTCTGTTCAATCAATTTAATTTTACTTTAACTTGTACAAAACTAATTGGTACCTTAAGAACTGTTGACTGTTTCTGCCCGTCATGTTTTTTACAAAAGTGCTATGCACGTTAAAAGCAGAAACAGTTTTACATTTAACTCACTTCAATCACAAGACATAAACGAGCAGTTGCAAACGTTTACAGTGCAGTGATACGAATGTAATACTGGTCACAGTCATGTGAAATAGGCAAGTGGGGAAAGGTTGGTCAGTCGTAGAGTTGGACATTCGTAGAAGGCCAGTGGCTGCCATGGGCGACAATATCCATTGCTCATCTTAGTTTCAGGGTTGGTACGGTCAGGGAAAACCTGGAAAAGTCAGGGAATTATGACAAAGTTCTGGAATTTCTTCTGAAAAACTACCTTTTTGCAAATATGCTACATTTTGCTCTAAAAATGTTTTTATCAGGGTGATGAATTATGGTAAAAGGAACGAAATAAGCACTGATGCACATTTTTATATCAATAGTTAGCTATCGGTACGGGGAAGGAATCGATATGTATACAGGGTGTCCAAAAACTCCTGGGTCGGTTAAATATTTTTGAAATAAGTTATTTAAAATAGACCTTTAAAACTTTGCACAAAGTTACTGGTAAAAATCTGTTTTATCTCATATTGAGTGATCCGCTACTTCCTCAGGGGGACGGCCTGCTAGGAGTCAGTAGAAAATCTTAAATGTAAGCATAGGTTGATATTCACATCAAATTAAAGGTCTTTGTTATTAAAATACAATGCCACAAACAAGAACTCAAACGGACAACCGAGTCAAAAATGACAGCTGTTCAAAGATTCATTAAATTTGCAATGCTATTATACGATACCTCCTCAGAGGCCGCTAGAAGTCAGAAGAAAATAACAAACGTAAGCATAGGTCAATATGCACATCAAATTAAAGGTCTTTATTTGTAGAATACAATGCTGCAAATTTGAGCTCAAAATAGCATCTGGGTAAAAAATAGCAACACTTTAAAGATTCAAAATGGCAGATTCTAGAAATCTTTGAATGGCTGTCATTTTTGACTCGGTTATTCGTTTGAGGTTGGGTTTGAGGTTCTGTACTCTACTAATAAAGACCTTATTTGATATGCATATCAACCTATGCTTACGTTTAAGATTTTCTTCTGATTCCTAGCGGGCCATTCCCCTGAGGAAGTAGCAGATCACTGAATATGTGATAAAATAGATTTTTATGTCAAGTAACTTTGTGCAAAGTTTTGTAGCTCTACTTTAAATATTTAAAAAATGTTCAACTGACCCGAGACTTTTTGGACACGTGGTTATAGTTTTAAAGCAAGTTTTGTATTATGGAGTGATTGAATAAGATAAATATTTAGATTTTTTTTTTATATTTCTTGATTTTGATTGGTTGATATCGACTTACGGTATACCTGGAAAAAGTATAATATCAGTCTGGAAAACCTGGAAAAGTAAGGGAATTTTATTTTCTAAATTTAGTACCAACCCTGATTTTGCAATTGATTTAATAAATTACGGTTTCGGTTGACCCGGGTTTCAGTTTAACGGGTTCCAGTAAAATGGGGTTTTACTGTATTAGGTACCAATTTATTTTGCCACTGCAAAAAACTGTGATTTGACTGAACTGTTTTTTTTTTATTTTCCAATGAGGTGAGGCTGAATGCCATCCTGCCAGCTTGTAAAAAGCTGTAAATCTTCTTATATTCTTTAATACTGATTAAAATAAATCTAATTTTTATTGTAATTTTTTTAATTTAATCACTGACACTAACAAAGTTTATTTTGGAAAATTGTGGTTGCAGTGATAGCTTTATAATACAGAGACAAATTGTTGAATTAATAATTTATTTATTTATTTATTTATCATATCAACGGCTGACGCCAATACATAAAGATTGATAGAGATAATTTAAGGAACTGACAAGATGCAAATGTGAAACAATTCTGAACAGTAACAAGCTACGAAAAGACAGTAATACAACAATAAATATAGCAATAAATATAAAACAAATACAACAATAAATAAAAAACAACAATAAATAGCAAACAATAAATGAGTTGACAAACATGCAAAATTGACAATAATGATCCGCTGATTTAGAAATTTTTGATAATGACATTTGAGTGCAAAAAACAGAAACAATAATTATGCATAACAAAGCAAGCAAAGCAACAAACAAACATATCAGAAAATAGCGAACCAATACTGCCGTGCAATTGAAAAAAAAAAAAATACACAGAGAGGCACAGGTACAAAACTCAGAAGGAACTTCACCACCTCGAAATTACCACACATTTCTTGAAAGCTGCCAGCGACATATTAAAAAGGTCAATATCATCAGGTAGAGCATTGACGAGACGTTGGGCTCTGGGCAGTGGGCTGAAGAGATGATAGTTGGTGCTGAGATGCTCACGAGAGAGTATAATTATTTCCATACATAGGAGGGTGTTTTCCTCAGAGTTTAGTTCTGAGGACTGTTTAGAACATCTAATAAATGTATTATGATTATTTCAGGAGGCCTTAAAGCTTACTCAACATTTAAGCAAAAGGAAAAACGATCTCATCGATGAAGTGTTGTTAAATCAAAAGCTGTTGATGGACAAATTAGAAAAAGGAAACCTGACGCCTGAAAAGAGGGCTGAAATTATGGCAACACTCAAAGGATTCCAGGTGAGAAACATGAAGGAGGTTATACATTTTCAATTATCCTATATATTAATTGTTTTGTAAACGTTTACGGTATAAGTGTAGATATATTGGAGGTCCGAGTATTTTACAATGTTCATTTAGCAGCAACAAGTAAAATGCTAAACAATGAAAATTTTATTTCATTTTATTTTTAATGTCCATGAAAATTCTATATTTTTTAAATAGTTTTGCAGCTAGTTTATATAAGTTTATAAGAACCTAATAAAAATCAGGAAAACATTGCTCAAGTTATCATGTTTATGGACACGTAGATATCTATCTATCTATTACTGTATACGAGGGTTGTTTTTAAGTAAAGGCCGTTTGTAAGTATAGCTTCTTAAGCTACGTTTCCATTCCAAATCTCCGAATTTGTAGGAATGGAAACAGCCTGGCACAAGTCACGGCACAAGTTCCCCGGCACAAATTTGTGCCCGCCGACTGCGTGACAAAACATGTGCCCGAGTCGTAGGCACATGTGCCCAGTTGGAATGGAAACGGCCGGGCACATGTGCCTGCAACTTGTGCATGCATAGGTCCTCCGAACTACCACATGCTCATAAATGACAGGTATTTATAACCTCAAATTTCGTGGAGTTCGTTGGAGGATATTGTCGAAGCCACTTTATACGCGCAAATCTCTCATCAATTAATTAAATGCGCCTTCCGATGGTATTTTAGCCAAAAAACTTCTTATCCACCATCTAAGTCGTTTTCTTCTTTTTCTTCTAAGTTCATGTATGCACAAGCTATAAATAAAATGCAGAGGCTGTTATGTCATATATGGTGATTTGTAGAACACAATTTAATCAAAATCAGCCACCGAACCTCACCACATCACAATAGAGAGCAGTCTTGTCTGCCAGTTGTAGTCGCGGGACTTGTGCCTGGAATTGAAACGACATAGCAAACTACGTGCGACATGTGCCGTGACTTGTGCCTGCGACTTGTAGGAATGGAAACGTAGTTTTCCTGTTCACCGCTTATCGGCATCATGTGTAAACCGAATGCTTTGTAACTGATGTGTACACTTAATTGTGTGTAAAATATTTTTATAAAATTATTTAATCTCCTGCCGCATGCGAGACAAGGTTAGTGATTATGTTTTTGACTTTAAGAAACATATCGGCTGTAGAGATTCATCGCCATGTGACTTAAGCTTATAACCCTAATGCAATGAGTGAGGGTTCGGTGTAAAAATGGGGACTAAAATGACTCTGAAAATTAACCTATTTCTGCACTTAACTCTTCACTCATTTCATAAGGGCAATCTTCAGTCATCTGGTCGGCATCAGATATGATTCTTGAGGTATAAAAACGTATCACCTTATCTCGCATACGACAGGATATTCAATCACACAACAAAGCCTACACGTCAGCTAAGGAGCTACAAATGGCACCATTCTGTTCACCAATGATGCCAGTAAGCGGCAAGCCACCTCGTTGCGGCGTACATGCAATCTATGGAGCAAAAGCAGCCCTTACTAAAGATTTGCCCCTCATATAGCATATACATAAATTAGTAAAAATAGTTATTTTGGTCTTTGGGGACATAAGAATGAAAAAGTAAATCAGTTCCGGGTCTAGATGTTACTGTGCCAAGTAGGGTATAGCTTCTTCTCTACTGGCATATTCGCTAAAAGGGCAAAAAACTACATTTTTGTACTATCTGAAAACAGAAAGAGGTTAGTCGGTAAGTATAATATTCAATGACCATATAGGGACTCAATACTCATCTTTTGAAATTATTGCATTGAAATGTATCAACTTACTCTTTTTTCAGGAAAATATAGAAACATTACGGAAAGATTTTGAGGGAAAAACAGTCTCAAACAATCCTGTCAAAGTGACTCCTCAGTTGGTAAAGAGATCTAGGGAGGAGGTAGGTGATTCTCTCTCCTCTCCTCCCACCACAAATGTATGACTACTCTTCTTTATCTTTACAACTAGACTCTAGGCTAGTAATTAAGTCATGTGGATTATTAGTTATAATAATGTTTGTCAACATTTCTTGATTTTGTACTGTCAGTCGAGCAACTAAATACAGTAGAACTCTTAATAATCCGAATCAATTAAGACAGTACCACATTCAGATAATCAAAAATTCGGATGGTAAGATTTGTACAGAAATTTGGGGTATTTTACAGAAAATAGAACTGTTGTATAGTTTTACTAGCTTTAATAATTATTAATTATACAAAACACTTCTGCAAAGATCGTGGAGGACTATTATGATTTTCCTCAACCGTGGGAGACGATTATCATGTCTACAAGACTTTGTAAGATACAAACAATGGGGGAATGGCACAAGATGTAATGGTTAGACTGGGGAAAGGTGTAGGATTTTAAGTGTTGGACATCTAGTCTGGGATAAAGATATACCAAAGACTACAAAATTACCATGTATAAGACTTATCATATACTGATAGTTACCTATGGTGCAGAAGTTTGGAATATAACACAGAGGAAATAGAGCGGGGTTCAGGCGGGGGAATGAAGTTTGTAAGAAATTTTAAAGGGAAAACAAGATTGGATAGAACCTAATTCTGACAGACCAAAAGTTAGCTTACTACATAATTCTCATCAAAAAGAGCACTGATGATTCTTAATGGAGACAAGTAGCCTATCTATTTTCTTTGAACTCTTCTTTATGCACAAAAAAACCCATCTTAAAGCAGAGTTAAAAGTTTTCGTTCTTTCAATTCGCGCCCTCAAATCTTTAAGTTGAATTTGTATTATCTTACATTTTTATAAATATATACATAGTTGGGAAAGTTAGTAGGGGTGTGCGAATTTTCAAACCTCCCCGTGCTTCATGCTTCGTATTATAAAGTCACAACAGTAACTTCAGCATATTATGACATCTTCCTTAACTCTAAAGTCTACACGACCATTTTCAAGGTCGAAAATTTTGTTGTGTCATTAAAATCACTCCTCTCAGCTGCCTCGTGTACAATGCTCCAATACGATAGGCTTACTGCAACCTTCCGGCATGGAAACATAAGACTGAAGACTGTCAACCATTCTTATTTAATTAATTAACAATAGCCTGAATTTAGCAGCAATTTAAATGGTAGAAAAAGGAGGATAGCAGCTAGGATAACAGCCTTTTTCTACCATTTAAAATCCTGGCCTAGAGCCTTTCCTTAAACAAAACTTGGCAGCAATTTAGTTTGTATTTGTTTATCAGGCAGTTATCTATTAAATTTGTATAGCTTTTAAATACATTCTCTTAGCTTAGTTAATATTAGGATCTACTTTTTGTAATGTGAACTTAAAGTACAGTAGGATGACGAAATAAGTCGTCTGAAAGTGTTGTCTGAGTAGCAACTAGTAAGCTATGAGGTTAGAACTGCACTTCACAGTCTTTAGCATACTTCTGAACAAGACACAAACTACCCTGAATTAATTTCTATGAAAATAATCAGCAACATTTTTATCTATTTTTGAACAGAGAAATATCTTTTTTAACTCTACTTTCTTGTTTTGTTACACAATTTGGTCTGCAATCGGAATATTTTATTTCTAAACGTCATGGTATTTTAGGTGAGGTCAATACTTCAGTATGATAAATATTTTTCGGCATCTCTCACCTTATTGAAATCAGGAGAACACAGTCCTTGTCATATCACAGTTAATTGCACATACACACGGATAAAAATACAACTAAATATAAAATCGCAGACTAAAGTTCTCAACTCCGACATTTCGCCGCACCAATAAAAACAAAGCGGTGTTTTCAAGGTTATTTTGTCTTCTCACGTTAACGTTGTGAGCGCCTAACCACGGAGTCGTGGTTAGGGACTCACAACGATCAACAAACATCAACATATATCAGTCATTAGTTTATCTTTGGCTCAATTAAATGTCCGTTGTATTTCTTACAGCTCTGACAAAGAATCTAATTATCAAGACCTAGGACTAATTATGTAGGTGGCCCTGGGTACATTTTGAGTGACATCATATAAGCGTTATACAAATAGCATTCTTTCCTAATTAAACTATATTTAATTTGGTTCATGGGTTTTAAATACCGTACACAATATAACATAATAAAACAAATTTTACGCTAACTGACCAACAATAGACAATAAAATACACTTAAATTATATCCATACAATAATGCTTGTGAAAGATTAAATATCTATAAAAACATACTTAGTTATAAACATGACTACAGTTTAGTTAAAGAGTTGCACATGAAACCATAAACTGTTAAACAACAATTATTAATGCCGTTACAAAACACTAATGGGTTTGAGATTGCATTAGTACCCTTGTAGTAAATTAAGGAAGTCTAAAACATACAATAAAGTGAGAAATGTAAACAAAGTGATAATACTTTTCAGCTCTTAAACAACTACAGTATTAGAATTTTATGAGTACTTGGCACAACTTGACCTCACTCTCAGTATTCAAAAGACTGAATCTCGACCCCTATTACAATTAGCTTATATAATCCTCAAAAACGGCTTTTACCAAATACTAAAGAACTTGAGCGAGCAATACAATTGATTTTAACAAACAAAGTACTGATGAATTTTAGATGCAAAAACAGCTCTTGGATGCTGAGCTAGATCTGTTTAATCAACAGCAAGAGGGGAAAGATACGACTGAGCTACAAAAGCGAGTTATAGAACTCAAGACAAAAGCTCACAGCCTTGGACTGCTCACTAACAACGGAGTCTTGCGTCTCTCTCGTGGTGGAGCTCGATACCGAACTGTCAGGTAAGGTTTTAATTTAGTGAAATTACCCTTATTATCAGTAATAAACACAATCAAAGCTCAGGCTAGCACAGTAGTTGCGAAGTCAAAAGGTTTCCGCCGTTATTTCTTTAGTTAGAAAATACTCATAAACTACAAAAATCCCTTTACTGAAAGAAGATAGTGGCTTAAATTATAACTAACATAAGCTGTAAAAAAAAATGTTAATTAGGTATGAAAAACATCTGGACTGTCATTTTCTCTAGTTTTTTATGTGCATAATTACAAAATGAGAACTATTATAATGTTGGTTTAGTAATCTTCTCCTGTGCTAAGTGTTTTTTGTGGGGAAAAATAAATAGCTTAGATAGGTTAGGATAAATAGGTGGGGTTGATAGGGTAACTAATTAGGTAAATGTAGAACATTAGGACACTTGAAAACCGGAGTAGTTGCTTTATTTCTTGAAACAAAGTGTAGTCAAGTGTAAATGCTTTGATGACTGGGCTTATGGCAGATAAAATAAAATTTTATAGCTTCCTTGGCCAGTACAGTCTAACCTTAATATAACGAACCTCGATATAAAAAATTTCTTGATATAACGAACTTTTTTAAATCCCCTAGAACAGGTTAAAAAAGCAAGTGTTATTTCACAAATCTTTAGTGTAAATAAACTACAGCCCTATGTCAGGATCTAATATTATGTCTGAAAATTAGCTTTCTCAACTCCTTGACCTTGTCACTAGACAGTAGACTTAAATAGTTTCCCACACATACTATAGCTTTTTACTGAAGATGTAGAAATGTATTAAACTTTTAGATTTATTTTAAGCCTTAAAATTAAAGCAAGTATAGTTTGTTTTTTCTTCCTTCAATTTCATAACGATTTCAAGTTATGTGCAAGCTATTTCTTAATTTGATGTTTTCAACAAGATTATCTCATAAACAATTTGGACATTAAAGTAATTGCGATTACAGCTGTGTTTAAATTCCTCCTAATGATTTGGTTTGTATTTAGGGGTAGGGGAGGTTTCAACCCCCATTCGACGGTGGATCATCGTCCTACTAAACTGCTGGTCTCAGGGTTCGAGAGTGATGACAAGGCAGAAGTTCTTCAACATTTCACGGTAAGGATTTTACTTGGTCAAGATATATTGTTGGAGCATTTGTTTTATAACTATTTAGGAGTTGGGTTGAGATTACCCTGCAGTTGAGATTGCCAAAAGCTCAGGACGGGGCAAAGCCTTTCCAAAACTAAATCCTGAAAAACTACAGGATAGTGTTGAAATTTTGAATAGTAATTAAAAATAAAAATTAATCAAAAACAATTATAACATGTGTAAGGGTACGCGGAATTGGCTAGCTTCGGAACTTGTTAACCCCATGTTAAATTCCCTCTCTTGAAATTTGGTCGTTGGTCCCTCGGCGGAACTTGCTAACTACCACTGAGAAGCCACGCACACCGCCCAATAGGAGCCAAGCTTGAAAAGCTTTGACTAGTGTTATTAAAAGTGTTGTAACTACTTACGTATCGGTGCAGTTTTTACGAACTATTAGCAGAAAGAGCAATTTAGTAGATTAAATAATAACTGTAGATTAATATGAAGATTAGGCTGTTGTTAGTCTTTGATTAGACTCAGTTGGTCTAAGAAAAAACAGCTGAGAATCAATGGAAAATGTCAGCTTTGGTTCATCGGTTGCTATGCAATGATTTGTCACGATTTTGGGATACGAGGATGATATCTTTGCAATTGATGGGGACATTCAAGATTTTGCCGCGGTCATGGCATACAATGGGGATGTCTTCATGATCGCGGGAGGCAATGATTAAATGTCTTTGCCATCACAAGGAATATTCCAAATTTTGTTGTGATTGCAGGAGATACAATGTTTTTGCTAGGGGTGTGAGAATATTTGAAAGTCCGAATACTTGAACGAATACTGCAGTATTCGAGCCCGGCTCCATAATAATGAGTATATTCGATCATTCTAATAGTAAATAAACCCAGAAATAATCTTTAACCCAACCAAATAAATCATGTTATTGTGTTGTTTTATTTCATCCCAACATTTCATGCTTTGTATTATAAATCACAACGGCGACTTCATCAATTACAACAATCTTCCTTAAGTCTACACGCCCATTTCCAAGGATTTTTTCTAAAGTCATTATTAAAATCACTCCGCTTTGCTCCAATTAACTAAAAATATATTTAGCAGTAATTTAATTTGTGTCAGTTTATCAAACAGATATATATTTGTATAACTTTGAAACAAATTCTCCTTGCTTTGTTATTATTAGAATCTACTTTTTGTAATGTGAACTAAAAGTGCAGTAGTCTGACAAAAAAATGTGTCTGAATAGTAACTAGCCAGACACGAGGTTTCTACGAGGTTAGAACTGCACTTCACAGTCTTTAGCATAGATTAAACATACTCGTCAAGGAGGAGTATCTCATTCGTCATAATTATCTTTACATGGAATAACAGTGTTCAGATATAAACTTTTTTTGCTACAATACTTTTAGTAACATATTATTTGTTTATAACTGGAACAGTATTATTGTATAAATTGCAGAACATTTGCAATTGATATTATTATAAGTTTTGATGTTAGGTATTTTCGCCCTTTGCTTTTACTTCATTATAACCTCCAGTCTTTCATTGTCGTCTGTTGAATGTGAACAGCTAGAAACTACGACTGTCTAGAGTCTTAGTACTGAATGCATTAATAATGTTTAAAAGTTTAAATTAAACACCAAGTTGTTGTGTTGGTTGAAAAAAAGTAGGTAACCAGTTGTGTAAAATTATCTTGTCAAAATGTTTCTTATATTGTACTTTATTATGGCTATGACTTATCTTTGTAGTACAATAGGTTTTTAAAAAGCCTTTATCTTAACTGTGTTTCTTTCGTGACACAATCCTGTTAGGAGTTAAAGGTTTTTATAATGTGTGGTACCGTAATTGTTGTAAGAAAACAATGGATGTAGAAGACTATTCATTTTCATAGTAATGTCAATGTAATAAACATGAGAAAAATACTGGAAGCCCCGTACCGTACCGATTTTGTACCAAGAACAAATTGGTAAAGGTAAAAATAGATTATTTAAAATGTTACGTTGGTTCAGGATTATTAAAGTTACATTGGTAGAGTTCCAAAGCTGTGATTGGGAAACTCTTTGTAGTGTACAATAGTAACGTTAATATTTGCTAGGTAATATTGGATATTCAAAAATATTATGGAGTATTCAATTTGCACACCCCTAGTTTTCGCAATTAGGAGAGATGCTCTCATTTTTTTAGCAAATTTCTTTTTAACTACTAAAAATTTTAAAACCATCAAAACAATAACCTAACCGATAAAAACTACAACCGACACATCACTAAAATCAAGAGTAAATCAAGTGACATGGTGGCAATAACATTTTTAGTGCAGTAAAATTACAACTTCAAACCCTTGCAAGACCTGTACAAACTTCATGAGGCCTGTATTATTGTTTTTATACAAATTCAATGAGTCCCAAGTAGCATACAAATATGGCCTATCTTAGAGATCTAACATCAAAATAACAGTCAATTTTATTTTTTGTATTTTTGTGCTTAAATATATTGTTTACTTATTTATTACAGATTATCAACTACACTAACCTGACTTGTTGCCAAAACTAAGGCAAGACATATAAAGAAAGAGCACTTGTTACCTTGGTTACCCTATGTGGGTTACTGGAGTTACTGATATACCACAATCTGTTTCAGAAATTCGGCGAAGTAGCTGATCACATATGGGATGAGGCAACTCCGGCATTGGTCATTCAGTTCAAAACCCGCAAAGACGCAGAAACCGCGATGGCCAAAGGTCGCAATTTTCAGGACAGGTTACTCTCCGTCACATGGTTCAACTCAGCTCCAAACATGGGCATGAGGTACAGATAAGTGATAGCTCAAAGATTATTTAAGCTGTATTTACTGGTCAATCTTTACAAGTACAACTTACGGTGAAATGATTTTAGTAAGACTAAATTACTTACTGCTCCTATCACAGCTCAACAAATTTAGTTGAATTAGTACATGTTTTGGTGTTAAAACACCATCGTCAGCTTCAGGTACTTGTAGAGTTGATCAGTTGTAGACATCGTCAAAGGTTAAACATAATACGGCACAAACAAAATTACAAAAAGTACAAAATGACATTGAAACATTTAAAAAACAGGCCTGTTCTAAAAAAGTGACTGACCGCTAAGGTAGCAAGGGACAGACTGGACGAACTTATCTATCTCTTACCAATTGTGTGAGAGAGATATTGGGCAAGGGTCAGCTGTTGTAGGATGGACAGAGTTTTTGATTCAAAAATTAGAAAAACCAATTTATACCCTACGAATCCCCCCCCCATAAAACTTTGTTACAATGGTCCGATCACGCTGGTTTGCGAACTCTTCGAATTAACATAGGTTTACACGTTTGTACCAAATTTCATCAAAATCGGATAATTTTTACTTGAGTGATCATAAATATATATGAATGTGAACAGATGGTATTTTTGCCTCTGGGGACATCAAAACACAAAAGTAAATCGGTCCTGGGTCCAGGTCTTACCATGAGAACTACGGTAATAGCTTAATCCCTTTATGGGAAATTCGCTAAAATGACTTAAAAACGATTAACACTATATTGGCAGCAATGTAGTGAGACGATGTTGATATGTTCACAGCAACATCGTCGGTAATTTCCCTCTATCGCAGTACAACAATAATAATTTTCCGCGGTCGCGGCAACACCCGTGATTATCTCTTGCTGTCAACGAGAACAACTGCAATTATTTGGAATCATTCAAATACAAAACTTGCCAAGACTGTTATTGTATGTTCTTATTGTTGAATTCTGTATTATTGGTCTTGGGGCAACCTTTGGGTCCTGGGTAGTGATGGATCGTCGGTACCACTTTTTCAAAGTCGGTACCGGTACCTAACCAAAATCGATTCTTGGTTCCAGTACCATCGGTACCATATCTTATTTTTTTAGGATAGACTACTTAATTATTTAAAAAAATATATATATCCATCCAGTATTTCAATTTTACAGTATTTTGCATTAGTATAGGTTGGTACAAAACTTAAGGAATTTAGAAAATAAAACTTATTTGTATAAAAAAACCACATTAATAGCCAAACACATTCAAATAAAAATAATATATAATGTAGCAGAAGTGTTAAAAATATTTGATGAATTTGTGTTGATGCCAAAATTTATTGATTCTCGATACCGATACTTAAAAAACCAATTATCAATACAAATACCATTTTTAAATAGTTTTACCAAGTTTTCTGAAAGGATTGGTTACTATACAACAGCCCCTGTCTTTATGTCATTCTATTAAGTATTTTTGAGGTAGGCTATTAGGGTGTTTTTCAAGTAAAAAAATGTATGTAGCAATCAAACATTCTAACTAGCCAATATCCAAGTGTAAACCCTTCTTTGTGACGTAAATTTCCTGATGACGAAACGTAGATGGTAACTTGGGAAATTACGTCTCCTTAACAATAAACGAGGTCCCAGGAATCGCTTGAGTCATTTTGGGGGGATTTTCCCAGGAGTCGATAGTGATTAGGATAGCCTCAACTTTGATAGCCTCGGTTATCAGAGCTCGGAACAAACCTAGCGGGTTACCAGACACCACACTTTTTAATCACCGCTCTAGTCAGTGGAGTTATTGGGGAATCGATAATTCTGACGGGACTCTGTGGGCAATAGCTACCTGACACGCTACTAACTACTTAATTAAACAAACAGTAACCTAAGTAGTCACCCTGCTTACCTACAGGGTTAAGGTACACGTGATAACCTGAAACAGACAAGGCCAGCTTAAGATAATTTAATCTTGCTTATGCAGTCTAAATGCCACAGAGTAAGCTACACAAAAACCAAGTTCACTTCATATTTTATTTTGTCTTTGTAACGTAGGCCTACTTGAATGATACATCTGCTTTACGAATAATATTTTTTTAAATATATCTTTCTTGCTACTGTTCTTGTGATAAAAAGTATATTTATTTGTTCTTAATTTCAGAAACTCCAGATCTGTTATCTTGTTGAATGACACCTCCATGTCCGATTTACTTTCGGAGCATGAAGATGAAGACGAGGCTGTAAGTATACAATTAGCCTTTTTCATTATTACAGGAATAAATAAAGAAATATTGTTGTAGTAATGACTTACAATAAAAAATGTTTGCTGATTGACAATTTGCCTGATGTGACAAGCATTACCTTTGTTGGTGATAGCCAGTCCATATAAATAATTAGTATAAGAGATATCCAATTTAAACAACTAAAAAGTGACATGCTGGTAGCCTTAGTCATTTTATCGCATAGAAGCCATTTCATTGTAATTTTCTAGTTTTGTTTCTATTTTTTTACAATGTGTTTACAATAGAAATTGTTTTAAATCCCTGTGTCATGGCTGCAGGGAAGGGGCATTTTAAAACTTTTTATTTCATGTAGTTCATTTTTGTTTTGTGGGAGTCAGCTTATAAGAGTTACCGCTACACCAGGTTGAAAATACAAGTATTATTGGCTTGATCATACAAGGTAGGATCTTTTAGACTAATGATTCAGTTTTAAAACATTCTAGTTTCATAGTAGTGTAGTAGTAACAAATTTCAATAAATGTTTCAGTTACGATTAAGCATTGACCAAAATGAAGACTTATTGTTACAAGATGAAGAAGAAGAGGAAGATGAAGAGAGGTCATGGAGACGATAGCAATGACCTTTCGATCCGAGTGTAGATGAACTAAGCATACAAACAAAAATGTGATCTTGTCCATAAATGTAACTATGTATATGTATATGTTTTCAGTTGAGCATTTACCACAATGAGGCTTAACTGTTAGTAATTGGTAGTTATTACTGGACATTCAATCTATTATTTTATTTTCACTAAAGAGATACACAGCTTTTGTGAGTGAAATCTATGTATTAAAACTATACATTTTTTACTTCTATATATCATAACTTAAGTATACTATAAAATATTTCCTCTATGTGAAAAGTTTCTGTAAGATATTGTATTACTTATTGGAAAATTTGATATTTTTATAGTCATTGTTTTTCAGAAAGAGTTGTTGCAATGTGGTATTTATCTGGTATGGTACCATAACTACAGTAAACTCCTATATTTTGAGCCCCGAATATTTGAATTGCTTACAGAAAGAGTTTTAAACCTAATATATCGTTATTAAAGAAGGCAGAAGTTCTAATTGCGATAAAATCCTCACAGACCTGTCGACATCAACATCATTCTTCACAATTTTTCGATCACGAAATCTTCTCAAACATGTTTTTGCAATTGTGATAGTAAAAGCTTAGCTTAACTCTGCCTATTTTCTATAAATTACCCTGAATTTCGGTAACCCCAGTTATCCAAATTTTTGTATATCCAAATGTGGTATGCAGTTCCAATTAATTTGGATAAATGAAGTTCAACTGTAGTAATTTCACTATGAGTTTTCATGTGAGGTAATCTGTTTTTGTGGATCCATAATAATGCTAATAACTAAGCAAAGCATGGTCCGGTCCTTTAAAAAATGTTGAGAAACTTAAAATTTACATTTAACGAACATCATACTATCTATAGATCCTAGATAAGTTTTAGGTAGTTATTTTTGTGATGTTTACGTTTTACCGTTAGACTGCTGTTTTTGATTATTCAGTTGAATAAAAATGTGTAACAATTTGACTTGTTTTCTTGACCATACATATAACTGTATTTCATTTTACAGTCTAGATAATTATTTCTGCATAAAATATAACAATTTATTTATAGTCATAATAGATGGATGTTTTTTATTCAGCAATGAATATTTTTTTGCCACACTACACTGTTTTAACCCCTACTACTCTCTTATCGGCCGTGAGCCGACATCGTCCGTTTCGCGATCGTATCACATGTAGGCTTCCAAAAAAGAGAATACTTTTTTTATTTTATTTTTTATTAGTGTAATTTGAATTTAAAAATCTGATAGGCTTAATGACCTGCACAATAAATGAAACTTAGGGCATGGGGCGGGGCCCAAAATTGAGAGTAGAAAGGGTTAAGAGAATTTACACGCATGAAATTGGTCCGGAAAACAGCTGTTTGTCGCTTGCTTAATCAAATGTGGTTTCATTATGTACTACTGTACTGTAGTGGATTTTTACCGGACACAAGCTGATTTGGAAATGTCTGATAGTTATAGTGAAATACACAATATAGAAGTAAGGGCTTTTTTTTTTTTTTGTGGGGGCTGGGGTAATGGCATACCCCTAGCTACTTCGGCCTGGAGACCTTTTGTAGCACCCTTTAATTCATTCTGACAGCCCTAGGCTCCTCAAGTAGCCCAGGAGCTGAAAGACACCCAGCTTCCTTATCTCTGTTGGTTCCAGGAATAACCTCCCCAGAGATATAAGCCTTCTATGGGCCAACGCTGGACAGTCCAGCCATAAATGTTCTGAGGTTTCTACCTCGTTCTCACAGAACCTGCAGAGGTCTGTTTGTGACCTCCCTATGGTCCTGAGATGTTTCCTGATAGGACCGTGCCCTGTTAACACTCCTACTAGTAGACTAATGTCCCCTTTCTTAAGGCTCAGCAAGTCTTTCCAGCCTTTATCAGTGGGGTCGATTAGTAATTTGGACGTCCTCATACCTGGGTGGTTCATCCAGGCCAGAGCCTTTTGAACCTTGACCCAGTCTTGGACTTTGGCTACTCCTGAGCTTATGGGGGTACCACAGTAGGGTTCTGGTCCTGACAGTTGGTCTTCCGCACCCTTCCTGGCCAATGCATCGGCTTTTTCGTTCCCCTCATGCCCCGAATGTCCAGGAACCCAAGACAATTTGACTTGGTTTCGCTCTGCTAACTTTTTGAGGGTGTTTTTACACCCTTTTACTGTTCGTGACTGTGTCACACATGACCCCAGCGCCTTCAGTGCTGCCTGGCTGTCAGAGAGAATAAGGATTTTACCCTTTCTTAGATTCTTGCTAATAATATTATTAGCACAGCACTCAATCGCCAGGACCTCTGATTGAAAAACTGTTGTTGTTCTGCCCAAGGCCAGAGATATTTTGGTTTTGTTACCATACACTCCCAGCCCTGATCTCTCATCCTTCCGACTTCCATCGGTGTAATAGACCAAGCATGCTCTGTCATTGCTGAAGTTGCACTGTTGCCAGTTGTCTCTTCCCCCTATTGCAACTTGGTAAGGAATCTCGAAGTCGTATTCCTTTGTCATGAGGTCTGGTGTGCCTAGTTCCATGTCCATGCTTGGGAATCCCCTCAGGATGGACAGGTGGCCAGACTGCCTCTGTAGATTCAGCTCACCTCTGCTGCCCATTTTTAGTGCAGATATGGCTGCGCATTTCTTAACTTCCAGCCCTAGTGGGAGCATGTCGAGTATTGCCTCCATTGCAGCTGTGGGACAGGATTTCATGGTTCCACAGATCCCCGAGCACGCTAGCCTTTGCAGCTGCTGCAGTTTCCTGCCAGCTGCTGTCTGCTCTGCCTTAGGCCACCATACTAAGGCTGCATATGTAACCATTGGTTTGACTATGGCTTCATAGGTCCAATGTGTGAGCTTGGGACTGAGTCCCCATTTCTTGCCAAAGGTTCTTCTGCAAGCACCAAAAGCACCTGTACCTTTTGCGAGTACATAGTCAAAGTGCCTGCTCCAGGTCAGTTTCTGGTCGAGGTAAACTCCAAGGTATTTTGTTTCCTTCACAAGTTTTACACTTTTCCCCTGAATTTTTGGGGCTGTTAGGTTAGTTCTCCTTCTCGTAAAGGAGATTAGCTCTGTTTTGTCAGGGTTAATTGTGAGCCCCTCTTTGGAGCACCACCCCTCAATGAAGCTAACGGCTGTCTGGGTAAGGTTGTTCACTGTGGCTGTGTGTTTGCCTCTGACAGTCAGCACTAGGTCGTCTGCAAAGGCTTGGAGGTCTATGTCTCTCCTGTCAGCCTCTCTCAGTAGATCATCCACCACAAGAGCCCACAGCAGGGGTGAGATAACCCCTCCTTGAGGGCAACCCTGCCGAGCAATGATAGCTGTCGAGTAGCCTCCCAATTCTGCCGTCACCACCCTGCTCTTGAGCAGGGCATTTATCCAAGCTGCTACGTCGGGGGAGATGCCCCTGCTTCTGACTGCAGCCTCTATAGATTTGTAACTCACGTTGTCAAAGGCACCCTGTATGTCCATGAAGACCCCTGCCATAATTTCCTGGTGTTCTAGGGTTTCCTCGATCTTTGCCACTAGGGTGCTTAGGGCCGTCGTTGTAGATTTGCCCTTCATGAACGCATGTTGGCTCGCACTTAGGGGGTTGATAACTAAATATGCATCCCTAATGTGGCGGTTTATCACTTTTTCCATAGTCTTTAGCATGAAAGACGACAGGCAAATTGGCCTGTAGGATTTAGGCTGGGCCTGGTCTCTACCTTTTTTCAGCAGAAACGCCACCCTTGATTTCCTCCAACAAATTGGGATGTAACCTAGGGCAAAGCTGCCCCTGAACAGAGCTATCATATGATTTAAAAGGACCTCTAGTCCTTCTTGGATGAGAGCTGGGAATATTCCGTCCCCGCCTGGAGACTTGAAAGGGCTGAATGAATCGACAGCCCACTTCACGACCTCCGGCTTGAACAGCTTACTCGAAAATCTTCTAGCCAAAGCAATGTCTCTAGGTGATTTCCTATTCCAGGGTATCACGTGTTGTCCTGTTGAGTTGCCTAGTGGGGTGTTCCCTGGGAAGTGGGTGTTCATGAGGACTTCAAGAGTCTCCTCCATTCCTGTTGTGTGACTCCCATCCTCCCGTTTTAATGTACCGAGCGGGTTAGGCACATCTCTCTGAAGGGCTTTTTGCAGTCTAGCTGCTTCTGGTAGGTTTTGAATCCCCTCACAGAACTGCCTCCAGGACTTCCTTTTGCTTTTCCTTATCTCTGAGTTGTACTCCGTTAGGGCTCTTGAGTAGTTAGCCCAATCCCTAGTTCTTTTGGTGGTGTTAAAGAGTTTACGGAGTTTACATCTCATCTTGTTTAGCTTCTCATTCCACCAGGGCACATTTATTGTTGTCCTTTTGGTTTTGAGAGGGCAATTTTCCTCAAAGGCATTTAGCATTGACCTGTTTAACTGTTCTGCCTTCATGTCAAGGCCGTCAATGGTCATGAGTTGGATCACCTTTTCTTCAACTTCATCCCTGAGGGATTCCTTGTATCCCACCCAGTCTGTTGTTTTAGGAGCCCTATAAGTCAGAACGCTTTTGACGCTTGCTATCAAGTCAAACCTAATATGGCAGTGGTCAGATAGAGAGGCTTCATCAGAGACGTGCCATCCTTTTGTTTCCAGGTGACCAAGGTTTAACGATAGGGTGAGGTCCAAAATTTCCTCTCTTATTCTATTTCTGAAGGTTGGTACAATACCTATATTTTCTATCTGTAAGTCAACCTTAAATATAAATTCCAGGAGATCCTTACCTCTTTCATTAGTGTCCGAGCTCCCCCAGATGGTATGGTGAGCGTTTGCGTCACAGCCGAGGATTAGGGGAATCCTCTTGCTTCTAGCATACTCCACCAACTGCACCACCGCCCCCGGAGGACAAGTTTCTCCTGGGTTGGGGAAGTAGGCTGAGGCAACTAGAGCTTTTTGCCTCCCTGCAGTGGAGTCGAAATCGACTTGGATTGTTACCAAGTCACGGCTGGTGAATTCTGTAACAGCTAAGCATACGTTGTTAGGGTTCATGAGGATGCAGGCCCTAGGGTTAGCAGATCCCCTATCGTATACCAGCTTACCCACCTGGGTTGGAAGACCTCGAATTGTTCCTCCTCTTACCCAGGGTTCTTGTAGGAGGGCAAAATCGAGCCCTTCGGTGGCAAACCTCCTGCCCAGGGCTGCTGAAGCACCTTTGGCATGATGGAGGTTGGCCTGTATGAATCGGGAATTCATTCCCGTTTCCTGTCTGAGGGGTCACTCTTACCCCTCCTGTCACGGTGATGGGACTCCCTTCTGTCCCCTTGTCTAGGGTTGCTGCTCCTTGGCCGGTACTGCTCCCTTCTTGTAGTTGAGGGCCCCCTGTGCCTCTCCTCTCTCCTTTCCCGGGAGTTTCTCCTGTCGAAGATAGGGAAGTGCCGGGAGTCTTGGCTTCTCCTTTCTTCGCCCCTCCTTGACTCCACTGACCTCACCGTGGAAGTGGATGTTGAGGGTGGTGTCCTTTTCCTTGCACCCAGGGTGGCAGATGGTGGTTGCACTGGCGGAGCATTTGGTGACTGCGCTGGCGGAGCGGTTGTTGGCTGCGCTGGAGTGACGGTGGCCTCCCCTTCAGCGTTTGATGTTATGGTGGACGAGGGGGGCTCAGGCCGAGGTGCCGGAGCTGATTGAACAGCTCCCTCCTCCGGACCTTTGCCCCTCAGCTTAAGCGTGACTACACCGAATCTGTAGGCCACAATCAATGGACGGTCCCTAGTGATCCTGGCAGCCGTCTTTGGGTCGATGGACAGGACCAAAATCACTGCATTTCCTTCGACTTCCACTCTGCTCAGAGCCCTCCAAGTCTCTGCTGGCAGGTCTTCGTTTTGCCTGTTGAGTGCCCACAGGATGTGCTGGGTCGAGTACTGGCTACTGTTCGGGAAGTAGACCGTTAGGACTTTTGCCTTGGGAATGTCTCCCTCAGACACGACCTTCACGGTTATCCCCCCCTCAAGGCTTATCCTTTCGCCTTTAGTTCTTATCCAGGCAGCCGTCTCCTCATTTGCGCAGACCAGAACCATGTAGCCCTGCCTGCTGTAGACTGCGTTGAATCTAGGCCGAAGGCCTTCCTCTGGAGCCTCACTCCAGACGAGAGTCAAGATGATCTCCTGAAGTGCATCCATCTGTTCGCTTGTAAGCAGGACCTCGGGGTAGTCGGAGTGGATGACTCCAATTCTGATCCCCTCTGTCGCCTGTTTATAAGAGAGTCTGTGGGGTTGACTGGTTGCCTCCTGGGTAGTAGGCGTTGCCCCTGCTGAGCTCTCTTTCTTCCTGTTTTTCCTCATACGGGCTTCTTCGGGGGTAGTTGTGTCCTGCCTAGGTCTTTTTGGCCTACTGCTGGTCTCCCCTTTATTGTCATTCCTCCCTAGTGGCTCGAGGCTCTGCTCATAGGCTTCCTGCCTTGGAACTCCCCTCCTTACAAGCCAGAGGAATCTCTTCGTTCTGGAACCGCACATCTTTCGCCAAGGTTTCCTTGATGTAAGCTTGAGCTTTCCAGCTTCTACCTCTAACTCCTTGACAGTTTCGGAGTCGTCTTCATTGAGGAGGCCTTCCTCCTCCGATAGTGTCATTGCATCCCCTCCCTGAGGTGCGGGCACCTCCTGGGCGGGAGTGCTAGGTTCTCGGGGGATGACATCTTGGGACCCTGTGGCCGCCTCAGATGTCTCCATCCGTTGGGGAGTTGTCCCCTCCTCTACCTCCATACTTACTTCTTCTTTTTTGTTGGTTTCCCGGTTTAAATTATTCTCCATGTTGGTCCCACGAGTAGCTAGGGAAATGTGGGTCACCCCGGGCAGAGCCCCGCTTACCCGGAGAAGGCTGCTTAAAACTGGAGGTCGCCTGGTATCCAGAGTCCGCATACTTGTGGCCAAGCTCCCCCTTGACCATGCAGTCCTCGGCGTATGCTGTTCCACCTTGACTTGGGATGATTAGATAGGGAAATGAAGATAAAGTTGAGAAAAGAATAGAAAAGAAGTAAGGGCTTAAACGGTTTGTAATAATCTTTTACCTACGACCGTATTTTAAAGTAGCCGTTTCAGTACAGTTTTTAGAATTGAAAAGTATCTCATAACAGCATTGTTTACTTTCATAACAGCATAGTTTTACTCATAACAACACAGGTAACGGACCAATGAGGTTCAAGGATTGAGAGAGGAGAAGCAAAATCGTAATGATTCGAAATTCAACTAATCAGCTGTTCAGGCCAATTTAATTGTTGATTGGTGCAATTAGTGTTTGGTATAATGTTTCGTTGCATCACTGTCAGTGGCAATGAGAGGTTAAAAACAAAAACATGACCTCTCTTAGAAGTTATGATTAGTGATTTTTAGTAACAAAAACACCAGGTAAAGTAGTGTATGCAACTCGCGTAAATAGTGTTAAAGACACTCGTAGAAGTGTTTAAGGCACGAGCCTACTCGTGTCTTTAACATTATCTTCACACAATCGTTGCGTAAACTACTATTACCACCTTAAACAAGGAAACAATACAAGAAAATAATATGTGTGAAAATAAACGTAATTAACAAACAATCATAGGTAAAGTAGTGTAAGCAACTCGTGTAGTTTGACTTTGCGACACTCGTAATTCTTGGGTCTTAAAGACTAACTTTACGTGATCGTTGTCTAAACTACTACTGTAGTTAAAAATATTGTATTAACCGTCCCGAGACTTTTTTGTCACCCGGTATAGAAATGTGAATTTGAAATGTGAAATTGAACAAGAATAATATTTGCATTTCTGAAATCTATTAGTTTACAATATCAAGTTTGCTAACATAAATCTGTCCATCTATTCAGAGGTAACACGAATACAAATTTCATACGACCGTCAAATAAATATTGTTCAAACCTTGCACAATTTCAAATAATAATACACATTTTATTGCACAACGAATTGTTTGAATGTCAGATTTTGTTTCTTGGGCTTGTTTGCAAATTTATGAAGTATCAACCTCCGTATTAAAAATGTAAGTGTAAAAAGTTAGAACAAGGGTTTTTGGACATTATGGATGGTATTATGCTTAAGGATTTTCAAAGGAGATATTATTTAATGTCGACTTAATAAAAATATAAAAAAATACTATTTCATTGATATGCAATGATTTTTTTGGTTTTGTGGTAAACTTAATAAAATGTTTCAAAATTACCAAAATTTTGAATTCAGGATCAAGTTGATGAATGTCGATTATGTACGTCTCACGTCAACGATTTTTTGCTGTTGAAAGACAACATAAAATATAATCTCTTAGATGGGAGTTCAAGATTATTTGACATCACAGTTGATAGTGGATAGCTGTTTGGCTAGCTGGTCAACACTAAGATATGCCAGCACAATGTATTCAGAGTGCCGATCTATTTTTCTCTTATGCAGTTACTTCTCAACATTCATGTTTGTCTATTCCCAAAAGCTACTCGCAAGGCATTGTCCTCAAGTTGTACCAATATCTGATTTCGACCGGGACAGGTACATGGGCGTCTGGTATCAACAAGCTCAGTTCAAGTCTTTCCTAAGAGAGGAAGTTATGTGCAAACACGTCGTCTACAAACCTGTGGGAGAGAACGGGTTTCGCCTTGAGGCTCGAATGTTGGCAAGAGTGCTAAACGGGCCAGTATCGATATACGGTGTTGCCAAGCCTGTTAGACCCTCAAACGATTTAACAGGTGAATATGTGGTGACTATGTTTGGGGAAGCAACGAACGAAGATATTTCTTACAATATATTGTTCACCGATTATGATAGGATATCCATTGTTTGGAGTTGTGACTCGTTTTACAAGCTATGGAGCAAGCAGAACATTCAAGTGTTGACAAGAGACAGAAAGATGAACTCGACGACGTTGTTGGCCTCAACGCTAAAGACACTGCTACCTCAGCAGCTGGACCATTATCTTGATCTGCTAAGTCCGATAGATCAGAGTGAGTGTGAGGAAATTTTGCCTCAGTGATTGAGCATCTTTTTTATACAATTAAAATAATTTAACATAATTTGTGGAAAGTTAAGTCAATAGATTGAGTTACTTAAGCACGACTATTAGTTCTAACTATTGCTGAAATCATCTTGGTTAAACCTAGATTGAGGAATAGTATATTTCATGATTTGTACAATACCGAAAGTGGCTTCCCAGTGCAAGCTCAAGTTTCATGTGTGAGGCGCTGTAAAGCAAATGACAGTAATAATTAGAGCAAGTGCTGGAAAATAACTTTCGGTTCAAGCTATGAACGATACTATTCATCAAGACGCAAAAATACTCAAAAAATTACAGACCTCAGTAAAATTAAAACTATTATACTTCCTAATTAATTTTATTTTTTATGAAAATAAAAGCTGAAAGGTTGTAGTAAACCTGCATAACCACGTGAAAATTAAAAGTTTAAGTTCATGCTTATGTTTATTGCACAGCAAATCTAGCTAATGAATATTTTTCTTTTCATTTATTTGTATTGCTGAGCAATAAAAACAGCTGATTTCAATAATGAGAATAAATTGTAAAGTAAACACTAGCACACATAGTGGGCATGGAGGACTGATTAAGAGCAAGGGGAAGTAAATTTAGAGCAAGGAAAATTTATCAGCTGTTATCGAAACTAGCTACTTTCAGTATGGAAAGATAAAAAATTTTAAAATACAAAAAATGTGAATTGTTATTTGTTTTACCTATGGCCGTTTTTTAGACTAGCTGTTTTGGTTCAGTTCTTAGAATTGAAAGGATTCACTTTTGTTTTCTCAATTAACACTTTTAACAGCATTGTTTTACTTAACAACATGAGTGACGGACCAATGAGGTTTAAGAATTGAGAGGAAAGAAGTAAAGTTGTAATGCTTCGAACTTAAACTACACAGCTGTTAAGACAAATTTAATTTTTTAATGAGAGGTGCAATTAGTGGTTTGTACAATGAGTCGTTGCATGACTGTCAGTGGCAATGAGAGGTTATAAACGAAAACATATCCTCTCATAGAAGTTATGAGTAGTGGTTGTTAGTAATTAAAAACGGTTGTATGACAAATGACAAATGACAAATGACAATTCTTTATTGCACATAACATCTGTTAAAGTTATTACAAATGTAATACACAGACAGGTACATTGTCAAGGTTTCTAATAAATAAGGAAATCTAAATAGGTATATAAAAAACCTGGGATTTAGCCAGTAAGTTACCCCTACAAAGCTACAGCATGGTGGAACTGTTTATGTTAGGAGAGGTTGATGACAGATTGGGTGTCTGTTACCAGGAGTCGTATCGTATTGTAGGTAAAGTAATGTACGCAACTCGTGTAAATAGTCCTAACAACAGTCGTAGAAGTTTTTGAGACACTGGCCAAGGCTCGTATCTTAAATGGTTTACTCGTGTTATTAACATTATCTTTATGTGATTGTTGCATAAACTACTAAAGTATACAAAAGTGGGAAGTTTTGGGCAGCGTAGGAGAGGTGGGTGGTGCGCGGGAGAGGGGGTGGCGCGGGAGAGGGGTAGGCACGGGAAAGAGGGGGAGTGCGGGAGAGAGGGCAGCCATGGAGAGAGCAGGAAATTGGCGCCTTGGTACCGTGAAACATCTGGTTACTGCTCAAGCACCTGCCAGTCTGTCTGAGGAGATGGGGATATATATCCGCTTCCTGTCCAGAACATCAAAAACCATAAGCGGATATATCCGCCACCCGTCCGTGAAGGGTTAACTGCTGTTTATTACTATTAGGATAGACTAACAATAACAAATTATATTCTGAATATGGTGAACTATTGATTTTAAAAAGTTAAACTTCAACTATTAAGTGTGTTTTAGGTTTTTTTAAATACACACGACCACTACGGTACCACTCATTTGTTACACTCTGATATCTATTCCATTATATGAAGAAATTAAACACTACTAAAAACTGTATTTTACGCATTCAATCCTGGTCTTGGTCTGTGACAGTCAAAGCAAAACCGTGCCAAATAAACTTTATTTATACAATAATTTCTATCAGTTTATGAAAAATTCTTACTACGTTTTGTCACAAATAAAAATGCCAATATAATGAAAAACCTTTCTTTATATTAGCAATAGCTAATTAATTAATTACTCTTTACTTAAAACCTTGGTCGCCTGACACTTTACATCCAGAGGTCTGTGCTTAGACCTCCGTCTACATATACTGTAGATAAATAATATTATGGTATAAGTACCGTTGGTTCCAGTATCCAGTACGTTGAGTGCGGGCCAGTCACCAAGGACCAGCCGCACGCTCAGGCCGGCCCGGTCACCTGTGCCTGGCCAGGTCCCTCTGAAATAAACCAGTCAGTGTGGCGCAACCTTGTGGAAAGAACCAGAGTTATTGTGAGACCAGTTACTTGCCAATTGCACAATTTATTGACTTTGGGCATTTATTGGCGTATTCATTTTGTTTTTTTGCTTTTTATGAGACACAACAATATGTTTTGTTGTTTATTATTTTAGTTTATCTGCCTTTTAGCGAATTTCCCTATAGGGAAGTAGCTATTACCGTAGGTGGCACGGCAAGACCTAGACCCGGGACCAATTTACTTTTTCATTTTGATGTCCCCAGAGGCCAAAAACACCATTCGTTCAAATTTTTATATATGTATATATATATATATATATAGACTTATATATATATATATATATATATATATACGTCCGTGAACGCGATAACTTGAGTAATTTTTGTCCGATTTTGATGAAATTTGGTTTAAAGGTGTAAAGCGGGATAAACTTGAATGAGTTCGCGAACCAGCACGATCGGATCATGGGAACGGGGCTTTACGGGGGGTTTTATGGGGTAAAAATTGGTTTTTCTCACTTTTGACCCTCAGAACACAAAATTTCCCGATTTATCTTTAGACCTTTTTAAAGAGCTTAAAAAAACAAATAATTTAGTATATAAAAGTATTTTTGTTCGATTATTAGTAACGGAGAAAATTAAAAAAAATTGTTAATTTAAAATTCCCATGTTATTCTTATGGAGAATATTGTCAAATGTTGTAGTTTGCTTGTTTATGGATATATTTTGATCAAACTTGGCAAATTTATTTATTTTCTACTAAGCTATCAATATTTTACTCAAAAACACACTTTATTAGTTCCCTTGTAGCAGCAAACCTAGGTACTCGTTAAACATAATGTTATTAAAATATATTTAACTGAAAATCAATTCAGACAAATGGAAATTCGCTTAGTCGGCAGGTTTGCTGCGGCGGGGGTATTATTTTAATAAAGATGGACTCCCAAATACCAAATTGTTATCAGCAGTTCCATGATTCACTGTGATTGAAATAAACAATGGTTGGGAGGGATAAGGGCTGTATATAGTTGTAAATATTAGTTGTAGTGATTCTATTCAACATTTTTAGTGTGAAAAACAGTGTTTGTGAGATCAAAAATGGAGTATTTTCGTAACGATGCCCATAAACTTCATTGGGCAGGCCAGCCCGGTAACCAGTGACCGGCGATTTTGGGCGCCATTTTTATTGGAAAAAAACGGTACAAAACACTATTTCCAACCTGAATCCACACTTCTGGGAACAAAAGGTAAGATTGTATGAAAAAAAGATTTCAGGCGCTCAAGGCAGTTGGTATTAAACCCACGATGTCTAACTTATTACAGTAATTGAAGGAAACAACACTACAGGGACACACAAAGTCAAACAAATACACAAGACAGAAACATGTTCACATCTTGGAATGCAAGTATATTTCATTTTATAAAAAAAATTCATATAATTGGAAACAATTTTAATATACACAGCAGTGTTGGTTAGCCTGTATATAAATCTGTACGTACAATAATTGATATTACATCTAAAACATATCTAATTGGCCAATCAGTAAAATAATCAGTGTATTGTGTAAATGCCGTTCACGGATCACTCAGAGCCGCAACGCCGGGAAGAATTTTACCTGAAACAGAATTTGTTGCAATTAGTCAAAAGGAAAAGTAATAAACTCAACTTAATGAGTAGCTAATATTCATTTTGACTAATGCTGATAAATGTAAGGAAATAGTGAATGTTAATATTGGGTTTGTGTTAATTATTTAAAAAAAGAATATTTTGAGACTTCATTAAACTATTATATTTACTTTCAGCATTATACTAAACAAGAACATGACAAAACAGAACATTTTAGCTACTGCTTTCAATATTTATCTTCCTTGTGGATTAGCTAAAGATAGTTTTAAAGTTTTTTTGTACAGTTTATGTGGAGTGTGTTTTATTTACTATTATGTTTCTTGTTAACTAATTTTGAAATGAATTGCCAAATAAAACTACCTAATTATGGAATATTGCTTGTCCAATGGTAACAAAAGAGTAGGACCCAAATTATAAAACAGGCTGGATTTTATCATTTGTGTCCTATTCTTTAGTTATTATTAAATGAGAAAAACACTATGTAAAGATATGCGCCCTCAAATTTCATAAACACAAAACATACATAAAACAGGCTTCATGAGAAGTCTACTTGCACTATTTAAAGTCACTGACAGGTAGTGAGTATGTCATCATTTCAGCTGTGTTAGTATCCTATCCTTTGATTATTCAGACAAGGATCACATAAACACTAGTCTTTTTATGCTGACACTTTAATGTTGAAAAAATTCATTCCTATAACGAAAATGCAGCTATGGAGACGGACCATGCTTGCATTGATAAAGATAATTCCCTGATTTATGGTTCTCTCCGGCAATTGAGGGGATAAAGAGAGACAGAATATGGAGGGTGAGAAAGATAGAGGATGGATGGAGTATGTTGCCCTACAAGTCGGGCGTTCATTGAAGGATGGATACTACAACTTTCAGACTTGAAGTATTGTGAATGCAGGTAAAGTCAGATTAGTTTACTTTTTCACTTGGGTTGCTCAAAAATCGGTTGAGTTGTTGTTCAGTTCCATGTAACTGAATCTCTCTTTCTTTTTCTACCCCCATCACTTTCCCTTCTACAACTCCCACTAACATCCCCTCTATTGGAGTCTTGCCCCCTCCACTACCCTTGACATATTCATCGTCAACCCACCGCAGATAAAGGTTGATAGAGCATCACTAAAAGAATTACAGCCAGACCTCGATACTAGAACCTCTATAACTCAATTTCCTTATCAAACCCAAACCTATCTAAGTAAAAAAAAAATCTGAAGATAACTCTAACTAATTTTGAAACTAAATTTTACCTCTATTAGTCGAATATTGTATTATTTTAGCTCTATAGCTCAAAGTACAATAGTTAAGTGAAACTTATTTTAAAAGAGGCCTCTATAAGTCAAGTATAATTGGAAGCTTTTCTATTGGACCTCGCTATCTCAAACTTTTCTGGGAGTATGGTCCACGTACTGAACTGTGCAATTTGAGGTTCCAGATAAGCCTGTTGCAACCTGTAGATGAGTCATTTGACTGTTGGCTGCCACTCCGCCAGTCTACGAGTCCCTTGCGTTCTAGTCACATCCTCTCTTTTGTTTGCGCATTTGTGAGTGATATTTTGTGAAAATAAGTGTCAGAATAAAAGTTAAAACAATTGATGAAGAGGCACTCGACATTACACTTTATGATGCAGTAAAAATACTATGGAAGTTCCATGAAAAACCCTGATAATAGATAGTGTGTTTCTCCCATAACTGCCCTTAAACCACCTTAAACAGAAGAAGATATCTGCCTGCAGTTAAATTGCACAGGGTGGGGCAGGGAAGTATCTCTACTTTTAAGATAGCACCGTGAGTAGTGGGGATGTGCTGGAGGAGTGGGGGTAGACTTTAATGATGCTATTTCTTTAGGATTTCCTATTAATAGCACTGTCAGTAGTAGACATGGCTTTATCGAGTGAGCAATGCACTTTTACAGTCAAGACATATTTCCCCCAAAATAAGTATATTCTTGCTGTGCAGCATGCGCTGCAAATTTGTTTTCGGATCCCCTGTCGCAAAGCTGTTCCAGATCGCAAATCTATTTTGGTGTGGGTGAAGGACTTCCGTGTATTTGCAGTATATTGCAAATGATAGTCGAGGCTCAAAGAACAGTCCTAACTCCTGAAAACATGACCTTGTCAGAAGATCGATTTCACAGTCTCAACGCTCTGATCGAAAGCATGCATCCATACTGGCCATGTCTAAACAAACTGTGCAGAGGACATACACCTCCATCCATACAAGATGGTAGTTGCTCTTGAGCTCACACAACGGGACTAGCAACAAATTCAAGTATGTGAAAACTTAATAGCGGGCTTTTACTATGATGCTTGGATTTTGTTTAAAACGAGGCACACTTCCATATTTCTGGAGTGGCAAATAAGCAGAGTATGCGTTATCAGAGTGATGCTAACTCTAGGGTAGTTCATGAGAGGACCCTGGATGCCTTGAAATATGAAATTCACCTTGAAGTTTTCTGCATTTCACAAAAAATGCTTTACAGAGTTATGATGAACTCCAGAACCAGACTACAGCAGTGCATTGTTAATTAGGGACACCACTTGCAGGAAATACGGTTTAAAACCATGTAAACATATATTAAGATAAACTACCAAATGTAACCATTTGATCCTAATATAAAGTTTAGTTCTACAATTTTGAATTTTCTTATAATTACCTTCAAAATAAGGAATAATTCCCTGCCCCACCCTTTACTTACTGTAGGGAATACATCAAAGTTTTTATCTCTGTAAGTCAAATTTTTTTGTGGCCCTCTACATCTAAAAATACCTCTGTAAGTCTAATTCCATACAACATAGCTCTAACTATCTCGAACCATGCCTATATCAAAGAATATGGTGTCCCCTTGAGTTTTGAGTTATCAAGGTTTGGCTGTGGTATGGAACTTGGTCCTACACCCTGCAACTGGATTTAGAAAAGATTACCTTCTAATAGTTCAAGGCTGGCACCGCCGCCGGTGGAGACATGACTCAGTTTGTCTTCCGTTCCCCACTTGGCGGCGCAGGTGGCGGTGTCACCCCCACCAATGATGGTGGTCGCCCCCCGCTTGGTGGCTTCTACCACTGCGTCCATCACTGCTTTGGTACCTTTTGCGAAGTTCTCAAACTCAAACACACCAACAGGTCTGAGGGCAGCATTGATATTTGCATTAGTGTTCAATTAACTTGATTAATTTACAGCATAAACCAGTTTACAGTTACAACTAAAATTAGTAGAAGGATTTTTTTAAATTGCAAGTACATTCGAATGGTGCAGGTTACTTTTTCATTATCATGTAGTAGCTAATGCATTCAATATCTAATAATGCCTAGGCCCTAGGGTATATAGTCATCTACAACTTATTTGTCTAGGTTTTACAAACTGTAATAAACAGAGCTGAGCTACAATCAAATTCATTTTCTCAAGTAAATGCGGAAAATTCAGTAGAAATGAGCCACTACTGAGTGTAAGACCCTCCAGCATGCCTACTACTTTGCAAGGCCTGATCTCAAATAAACAACATCAACCCAGCTTGCCTAGCCTACCCTCCATTACAATACAATCGGATGAGAAGTATACTTGCATTACCTATCTTAAGTTATTAGTATAACTAACCCATTCCATACGATAACTTTAGCTCGGTCCACAACTTCCTTGAAGAGTTGGCTAGACTTGGGACCTGCATCCAACCCCATCCATCCATCAGGTACTCCGCTGTCTAGAGTTGCGGAACCAACCGCTGCATCCTCGGCAAACTTATCTGCAGTCACAAAGTCTACAGGCAAATGGATTTGAACTCCATTCTTTTTAGCCTTTTCTGTCAGATTCTTGACGATCTTAGCACCCTCAGGGTCAAACAGTGAGTTTCCAATCTGGAAAAGAATTCAATTATTTTGTTCAGCCATTTTTAAATTGATGTAAGAATTGCTAAAAATTGTTTATTTATAACTAGTTTATATTAGTACAACTGTATTCAAATACACAGCTAAGGAGTTCAAGATTAAACTATCCAATAGATTTCAAATCTTGGAGGAACAAGAACAAAATGACGAACTCACTATTGAGGAGAGATGGACGTCACTACGAAACACAATACAAAAATGTGCTGAGGAAGTTTGCGGGAAGAAAAAACAAAGCAAAAACAAACCCTGGTTTGATGAAGATTGTAGAACAATGATAAATGAAAGAAAACAAGCTAAAGACGTTTTGTTGAAACATGGAAGAGAGATTGACAGAAGGAACTATGAGATTAAAGCAAAAGAAACAGTAAAAATTCTCAGACGGAAGAAAAGAGAATGGATAAATAGATTGCTGGAAAAGACGGAAGAGGACCAAACAGCTAACAACTCTAGAGAATTCTATCGAAGAATTAGATGGTTCAAAAAAGGATTCAAACCTAATGCATATGGCATAAAAAACAAAGCAGGGCAAGTAATTATACAGAAAGCCGAGGGTCTAGAAGTATGGAGAGAATATTTCTGCGACCTATTAAATGGTGAAGAGGATACAAATCACACAGAACGAGCTACATTTCAGAATGTACAACCTTTTGTACCAAATCCGTCCACAGAAGAAGTAAAGGGTGCAATAAACGACCTCAAAAACAATAAGGCACCCGGAGAAGATGGGGTGACAGCAGAGATGCTGAAAGCAGGAGGCCAGATAATAATAGACAAAGTACATAGGTTAATTAATGAAATATGGGATAAAGAGACTATTCCTACAGAGTGGCAAGAAGCTTTAATAGTGCCCATCCATAAAAAAGGGGATAAACAAGAATGTAATAACTATAGAGGAATATCTCTTTTAAATGTTACATATAAGATTCTGTCCAAAATTATTCAAAGAAGACTTGAAGTATATACGGATTCCTTTGTCGGTGAACAGCAGGCTGGATTCACCAAAGGCAGGTCCACTGTGGACCAGATTTTTATACTTAAGGAATGCTTAGCAAAGTACTGGGAGTTCAACAAGGAATGCTATTGTTTATTTATAGACTTCAAAAAAGCGTATGATAGCCTATTCAGAGCAAAGATATGGGAGAAAATGGAAAAATTCGGAATACCAGATAAGCTTATTAAATTAGTAACCACATGTGTCTCAAACTCTCGTTGTAAAGTGAAGATAGATGGAGAAACCACAACTAAATTTAATGTGAATACGGGGGTGAGACAGGGGGATAGACTCTCCCCTCCTATTCAACATTGCTCTAGAGGAAGCCCTACAAACAATAAAAAATGCACACATAGGACTAAAACTAGGAACGAATATTAATATATTAGCTTTTGCAGATGACGTAGTACTGATGGCTGAAAGAAAAGAAGATTTTAGGGTTTTAACGGAGATACTAATAAATGAAACTGAGTATGTAGGGCTAAAAATAAATTATGCAAAAACCAAATTCATGATAGTAACAAGAGGAGAAGCTGGAAATAATGAAGAGTTTTTTCAAGTCAACAACCATGAATTCCAAAGAGTAAATAATTTCACCTATCTAGGCGTTCTACTATCTGACAAAAATACGGAAGACATGGAAATTCAGAATAGGATAAATTTAGCAAATAAGAGTTGGTACGCATACAGTAAACTAATTAAATCAAAACTTTTAACGAGAAAGACAAAAATTAGAATCTACAAAACTATAGTAAGACCTGTACTTTTATATGGAGGGGAAAATTGGATCCTGAGCAAGAACTCAGAAAAGAAAATAATAACTTTTGAGAACAAAGTTTTGAGAACTATATATGGGCCAGTATGTGAAGATGGAGTATGGAGAATCCGCCACAACCGGGAGATAAGAGAATTATTTCAAGACCCTGATATCATTGGAGAAGTTAAGAGTAGAAGATTAAGGTGGGTTGGCCATATCCTAAGGAGAAAGGAGGAGAGTCTACTGAAGATAGCACTCAGAGGAAATCCGAGGGGAAGAAGACCAATAGGTAGACCGAAAGCCAGGTGGTGGGGTCAAGTACGAAAAGATTTGGAAAGGATGAGGCTTGTAGAGGAAGATGCATGGGACCGAGACTATTGGCGACAGCGTGTTGGCGAGGCCAAGTACCAGCTAGGGTACAAGTGGCCATGGCAGTAAGCAGTAAGTAAGTAAGTATTCAAATAGGGAATAAATCTGGCATGTTGAGGAAATATTTAGCCTAAGTGAAAATCAGATCAGCCAGATGTGCTTCGGCAGGAATATTTAATTTTACCTTCATTCCTTTCAGCTCCTTGAGGAAAGTGTAAGCCATCCCTCCCCCAATGATCATCTCCTGAACCTTGTCCAGAAGGTTGTCAATCAATTGAATTTTGTCAGCAACTTTGGCTCCACCCAAGATAGCAAGGAAGGGTCTAAAAAATAAAAATAAGCCCATAAATACATATTACTAGTTATCAGACAGTCTACAGAGATGGATGCGTTAATTATCTCTCTTGCCGCTACCATCAGCCTGAATTGGATGTGCAAGAGAATCTTTAGGCAAAATAACTAAAAAATTTTACATTTTGTATCATTAAGCGTGTTAAATGGAAAGTGAAAACCCCACTACAACAAACCTGCAGACTAAGCGGATTTCAATTTGTCTGATTGGATTTTTTTCTCAAATATTTCTCTAAACAAGTCATATTTATTTCCTGTTTAAATAACATTATACATGGTGTTTACAAAATAATCCTGGGATTTTAAATCGTAATTGCTTGGGTACTATTCAAGGTAATGAAACGTTTTATCTGTCAAATTGAAGCTAAAATAGCAAAGTTTTATAAAATAGCAAGGGAGGAAACTTTGACCTTTGCATACGCAAAAAAGGTGCGAGGTGGTAGGTTGCCGTTGCAACTCACAAGCTGATGCCAGTCGCCAGTACGATGTTTAGGGCACAACTGAAGGCACAAGGTTAAATCTGTAGTTTGCAGACTTTAAATTGACTGCTAAATTAAACTAAATTTAAATTTACTTGATGATAAAGAAATTTGACGCTGGTTTAATGAATTTCGTGGCTCCGAAGTGTTTTGAAAGGACATTCGCCTGGCCGGCTAAAAACAAGTGATGACAAAGTCAAAGAAATCCGACAATTGCATCAGAAGCCTGCACAAATCGATTACCCGACAAAGTCTTTAGTTGAACATACCTAAATCGTGACTTCATGATGTTATCCGTATGAGTCTTTGTGCCTACCAAATTCAGTTAAGTCATCAGATAAACTCGCCGATCACCCTAAGCATACAGACTTTGCTAGTTTTAAGCTCATATGAGATTGATGAAAATCTGAATTTTATTCGATTGTTCCGAATTTTATCAAAGTAAGAGAAAAACACTTTGTTCTTTTCCCTTCAATTTGACGTTTAAATCGTTTTAATAATTTTTAACAGTCCCCAAGCAACGACCGTTTAAAATCCTGACATTCTTTTGTAACCCTGTATTTAACAAGTACTTAGATTTACTGCTAGATACCTGGGAAGGGAAAGAGTGTTTTTAGATAAAATATTAATAGTATAAGATAAAAGAAATAAAATTGACAAATTATATAAAAATATATCTATAAACAAGCAATCTACAACAGTTTTGTTTTCTCCATAAAAATAACATAAACATTTTAAATTAACAGTTTTTTTTCCTGTAACCTCTATAATTGTACAGCATTCTTCAATGTACAACATTTTTTTGGCTTTTAAGCTCTTCTCGGTGGTTGTAATACAAATTTGACAATTTCATCTTTTAATGGTAAAAATTTTTTAAAACCAATTTTTAGCAACATGTCTAAATCATATAACACCCTGTTCCCATGATCCGATCCTGCTGGTTACCAAACTCATTCAAGTTTATCCAGCCTTACACATTCATGCCAAATTTCATCAAAATGTGACCAAAATGACTCGAGTTATTATAGTTAGTTATCAAGTATATAAAGAAAGTTATGGACACACACACACACATACCTGTAGGACTTAGGAAACGGGGAGACACGTACACCAACACTAGCATTTGAGGAGAGTGGGTTTGGATGGTTATGATATTTCATAAAATTTATATTTAATATAATAACTTATACCAAAACAACATAAAAATGAATTAAAAATTGCATACTTGTAATTTTTTTTACCAGTTAACATGCGACCAAACGGGGAGACCTATGAGTTTAACACCCACTTCCGGCCAAAGTTGCCAAATGGTGTGTGTGACAGTGTTGCCTATTTTACTGTCTGATTCACGACCTGAGTGTGCATTTTTTTCCAGCTCTCCAATAGTTTTGTTGCTTGTAGCATATTGAAGCACGCTTTATGCTCTATATCTCTTGCTTAACATATAAATACTCGACTCAACAGCACAACTCATGAATTAGTTCATCAATTGTATCTGTTTTTTTATCAACATTGCTTTGACTGCATTTACTCACATTGCATGGTATTAATTGTTTTGCTATTTATTCTTGTTCTCTGTTGTTTTTTTGTGTGTATCAAATTGTACATGAGTTTTGATAACAGGGAAAAAGGCCTTGAATCAGTTTTGTAAAGGGCTGGGAATCTAACTTATATTAAATCATTATCGCCAATGGCCTACAATCGAGGTTTCCACTCATTAACTGTGTTTCGATGGCCATTGTGTCAAGTACAAAATCACAACTGCAGTTGGTGATCGGGAATAGTGCTGCGGTCTCGGAAGATCTTTACGATTTTGTTGTGATCGTAACAGAGGATCACGGATGCTGCTAAAGTCGATTTTCACTTCGGTTTCGACTCACCGCTATTGCGCTGCTGTCGCTTGGTCAATGGCCAACGGCCTATAGCCCATCCCCTATTGGTACGTAGGCCTACACAATTATCCATAGCCAAATTTCGACTCAATTCTCGTTACCGGTACTTTTCCAAAGAACCAGAGTTAGAGAGAACCCTTTTACACCACTAACACTTCACTACTTACATTTTAGTTGTCGTTTGTGTTGCATTTCATGTTATTATTTAAATTGTTTTCCTACGGTATTACATACAGTAATTTGCGTTTTCAAGAATAATGTGTAATGTTAACTATCCCAATAATTACTATACGTGTAGATCTATTTTGTTGTAAACTGTTCTTCCTAGGTTCTAAATGTTAGTTTATGCCATGAAAATATCAACAAATTTGAGTGAAACATTTTTCGAGCAAAAAATCATTAATTGTTTTCGCTTTGTGTTGTTGACATTTATCATAGTATTTATTTATAATAGTTAATGTTAATAGCCTGTATATTGTTCTTTACATCAACTTTTTATCAAAATATCCTTTAGTTCTTCATTTTATTTATACAATACAGTAAAGTCATTTTAAAACCATTTCGGGTCATCTTTAGGACCAAACAAATATAAACTTCTATTAACAACCACCAATCACTTCGCAATAAGTCGTTAAGTAAATTCGATACAATACAATGACGTATAGTAATTCCTTTCTATCTGTACATTGTATAGCAGCTGTTCAAATGTTTAGAAATAGTTTTTGTTTGTGATGTTAGTTGTTTCATATTTTAGTTTTATTTCAAGCTAGATTCTTTGTTAAAAGCCAAACTAAAGGTAATTTTGTGTTATTCATTCAATCTACAACAATGTCGTAAATGCAATCTGTGTTAAGTATAAGTTTGAAAAAAGAAATTATGCAAAATAAGCAAACTATCGCTTAAGTGGTTTACGTGCTGATACTTCTTTTCTTGACGTTCGAATGTGTGTATGTCGGCATACCAAAATTTTTGTATACGTTTTACCAAGGGTCGTAAAAAACTTAACTATGGCTGATTTTAAAACTGGCATCTTAAAGTTTTTTTAGTACCCTTCAGCAGTAATTGGCTGTTGCATAGTTGTTTGCATTTTCAAAACGTACAGATGCAATAATATACCAATATACCTATGTTTTATAAGGTGCAGTTGAACGCACAGTGTATTGGATGGTTTATAGGGGTGAAATCTGTGGTGTGATTTTTTTTTGTCTGGTGGTTTGTGAAAGATCACGTGTATCATTTGTCAATCTCCAATATAGATGAACTAGAAACAAAGATAAAGCAAAGAGAAGCCTTTGAAAAAATATCTAATAAAATTCACCACAATGTATGGTCAGAGCTAGAACACCAACTTGTTCTTCTTTAAGCAAATAACGGAGAATGTGCTGAAGTTAGATGTTGAAACCATGGTAGGAAAAAATTTAGAAAGTTGAATATTTTTCTTTAATAATAAAGTGTTTATGCCAGTTTACTTTTGATCCATTCTTTTTGGGACCCCGGTATATATAATTTGAACGAATAGTTTTTTTTTACCTCTGGAGACATCAAAATGAAAAAGTAAATCAGTCCCGGGTCTAGGTCCTTCTGTGCTGCCTACGATATTAGCTTCTTCCTTATTGAGAAATTTGCTAAAAAGTGGTTAGTCAAAGCAATTTTGTCAATAAATATGTTGACTGCAAGCTAACTTTTCACACTAATTCCAAGCACAATCTTCGCAGAGCTTCAGCAAGGCGAGAAATTATAGATGATTTTTTCAAAATTTCTATGTCAAACAAAGGATTGTAGGATTAGTAATATTAGAATACATTATGTATGTTTTTCCTTGTCATCTACAAATGTTCCATACTACACTTACTTCTCTGGGTTGTCCAAGGCCTTAGCGAAGTAGGTGAGTTCCTTGTTCAGTAGAAACCCTGCAGCTCTCTGTTCATATCCTTCGCCCAACATAGAACTGTGCGCTCGGTGAGCCGTGCCAAAAGCATCATTTACATAAACATCTCCCAGCTTGCGGAGAGACTCTCTGAATGCTTTTACTTGTTCTGGTGCTGCCTTGATCTGAGATAGAATTAAGAAACCATATCAATTATCTTGTGCAATTTGTTTTGCAAACCCTGATAAGTAAAGGTTTATTTTAGGTTTTAAAACAGTAGTTTTAACTTCCTGCTTTACTGACAGTACAATGCTTGGTTAGATAAAGATATACCTACTATTGATTGTTTTTTTAGTAACCAAACAGTAAATGAGAGCTATATTAAGGCAATGTTTACACCGGATTGTTTAAAACTAATGTTCCTAAAAAACCAAAAAACACAACTTTTTGAACGGAGACATTTTTATGTTGGAAAAAGTTTTTTAGTGTGTACAACAGAAATTTTGTTCCTCACCAGAAGTCAGCAAAGATCAATGGGTGTTCCAAATATGAAGAAAATATTTGTTCAAACAAATGTTTCTGTACTTCTACGCTGTTTACAACACTTCCCTGCTACCCACCTCGGACTGACCTCGTGTTCTCAAGAATGGAGATTAAATTGTTTCCAAAAAAATCTAAGAAAATGATTTGTTGTAAACTTTTGTTGTCAAAGTGTTGCAAACAAAAAGTTCCATACATTTTGTTCCAAACTCTGGTGTAAACGCAGTTTGGTTGCATTTCTTACAAAATTATTGTTTGACAGAGATTTTATGTTCATTTAAGTTAAAAATATTTTTCTTTGCATAAAATTGAGATTTTTAAATTCATAACAAATATATTGAATTTGATTCATTTTCCTTTAAATTACCTCATGGGCTACTTAAGACACTGTGCAATGTCTAATATAGTTGACATCAGTCCATATGGATATTTTCAATACGCAAGATTTGGCGGAAATTATAGTTAATGCTTAGTGGACATGTTAGGGCTACAAAATCCCTCATCATTAACTACAGTAATGACACAAGTCTCAACAGTGGCCTGTTATTTGGCATATTTTTTAGTTTCAGGTATTTTAATAACAGATACGAAGAAGTTGATCAAGAAGTTATTTCATAAAATAATAGATCGATTTGGGTAAACTGTTTATTACGATAACTAAGAGGAATGTTAATCTACCTTTTCTCCGGATGGAGCGACACCTTTGCCCTCTTCCTCGACATGGAAACGCAAATTCTCAAGTAGAATTAGTGAACCAGGCTTTGGGTCTGCACAAGCCTTCTCTACCTCAGGTCCCACACAATCCGGTAGGAAAGTAACATCCCTGTAACAAACGGCAGTATTGTTGTTTAAAATTAATCATTTAAGGTACTGAGGTACAGTGGCGGTTCCAACGGGGGGCTACAGGAGCTAAAGCCCCCCTCCCCCCCCTACAGCAAGGACGGGGAAACAGCTGATTTCATATTCCTAGTTTTCAAATTGTCTGCTAGTTACTAACTTACACAGTCATCAGCCATCAGCGATAGCACCAGTAGCCTATTACCATTGACTATATAAACACTAGTGTTTAAGTTTATAAAGTCAATGCTATTACTGAATTTTATACTATACATATTGTGACAGATCTATGAAATGGAGAAAAACGTAATTTTCAAATACCCCCGCCGCAGCAAACCTGCCGTCTAAGCGAATTTCCATTTGGCTGAATTAGTTTTCAATCCATCTATTTAAATAACATTAGGTTTAACGAGTACCTAGGTTTGCTGCTACAAGGAAACTAATAAAGTGTGTGTTTTAAGTAAAATAATTATTGCTTAGTAGAAAATGAATATATTTGTCAAGTTTGATCAAAAGATATCCATAAACAAGCAAACTACAACATTTTACAATATTCTCCATAAGAATAACATGGGAATTTTAAATTTACAATTTTTTTAGTTTTCTCCGTAACTAATAACTGTACAAAAACACTTTGATATACTGAATTGTTTGTTTTTTTAAGCTCTTTAAGAAGGTTTAGAGAAAAATAGGGAAATTTTGTGTTTTGAGGGTCAAAAGTGAGAAAAACCAATTTTTACCCCATAAAACCCCCCATAAAACCCTGATCCCATGGTCCGATCATGCTGGATCGCGAACTCATTCAAGTTTATCCCGCCTTACACCTTCAAACCAAATTTCATCAAAATCGGATAAAAATTACTCAAATTATCGTGTTCACGGACACATATATATATAAATCTATATATATATCTATATTATATACATATATAAAAATTTGAACGAATGGTGTTTTTGTCCTCTGGGGACATCAAAATGAAAAAGTAAATCGGTCCCGGGCCTAAGTCTTACCATGAGACCTACGGTAATAGCTACTTCCCTATAGGGAAATTCGCTAAAACGTGTCTACTTGCTTGCATGACATATAACAGGGGAAATGGGAGGTTTTAGGACAATTGGGCACAGTTCTAGATGGTAACAATGGCTTTATAAAGTCACCAAACATCTTTTAGAAGACGTGGCTTCGTAGTCTACAGTAGGCCTATGTTTTGATAATTTTTTAAATGTCTACTTGCTCATGACAAAGACGATTAACAGGTGAAATAGGAGGTTATTAGACAGTTGGACACAGATATAGAAATTAATAATGGCTTTAGAAAGTCAGTAAACAGCTTTTAGGAAGATATGGCCGTAGCCTACAATATGTTTTGAGATTTATGAATGCAATCATCATAGTTAGTTTTACTTTTAAAAATGTCTACTTATTTATGACAAATAAAATGGGAAAATGGGAGGTTTTGCACACAGTTTTAGACGTTACAAATGGCTTTAGAAAGTCACCAAACGGCTTTTAGGCGGATATGGCCGTAGTCTACAGTGTGTTTTGAAATTCATGAATGCAATCGTCATAGTTTAATTTTTTAAATGTCTACTTGCTCATGACAAACAACAGGTGAAATGGGATTATATGGACATTGGGCACGGTTTTAGGTGTTAAAAATGGCTTTAGAAAGTCACCAAACGGCTTTCAAAATACCAAATTTTCCCGGGGGAGCACCGCCAGACCCCTCTGCTGTGGAGCAAGCCCCCCGGTAGCCCCCTCCTTGACAAGGTCCTAGAACCGCCATTGCTGAGGTAAGTTATACAAAATAAAATTAAATAATGTTTTATTTCCCATTATTTTGTGCATAAAGTAAATTGTATTTTTTTTTATTCATAAATAATACAGCTTATAACATTTGTGACTTATAATTATACATGAGTTAAAGCTGTAACTTACAAATAAAGTTAACAAAACATTAAAACAAATACCCTCTATAACCAAGGAAAAAGCCTACATAGGCAGGGCTTGCGCGTAGACTCGAGTTGCGTTAAAAATTAATTTAAATAGGAAAATACTGAATTCATAAATCTATGTCAGGTATTTTCAATCCAAAAAGTAACAGTTACTTAAAAAAAACCCCTTGTACGGGTGCATTCAATTCAAGCAACCAGCTACATTTTCACTCACATACTTGCACATACACTTTGTTCATAGCTATGTAACCAAACCAACCATAAACTTTTTGTATATAGCACTTTAAATAATTATTCAAAGTGAGTGATTTTGGTTATTTGTACTTCTAGTGATTGAGATATTGTGGTTCAGACAAGGGTAGGATCCCAAGATAACCAACGATCTAAGAGAGTCCATAGTGTTCAAAGCAAGTTCAAAAGATTTTTTTTTCTTTTATAAGTGTCTTTGCTAGTGGCTTTCAGTGTGAAAGACGTTAAGTGAAAGTAGTTTAAATCCCTCAAACTTTTGTGAATATACCAGGGATCAAGCCCTTCTCTCTGGCACCAAAGTCCGCGGCACTAACTACTAGGCTGACAACAAACCTAACCCTCTAGCAATCATATGATCATGTCTCCTGTGAAAGAATAAAAAAACATAAAACAACTAAGATGAAAATCTTAACTTTGTGATAGATGAAGAAAATAAAGGGCTGTACAATAAGATTTAATCACCTACTCAGTAATGCAAGATATCAACAGTGATGTGATAGAAAAATTACTAATTCAAATACAAAACCAATCTTTGATTACGTCTAACTGTAAATGTCATATCTTAAGTTTTAACTTAAAGGAAAGCCATTTGGCTGGTTAGGAATTTTTTTAAGGAATATAGAGTCCAGGGAACTTACATGAGATGATAAGCCTTTACATGAGTCCAGGCGCTAATAGATACACAATAAAATAAAACAAAACATAACGCTTGTATATTGTCTTCTGATTTTTTCATTGTGTATCCATCAGCCACTATACTATACTTGCTGAACTCTATTCCTTTAAGTTTTCAATCTTAAGTTTTAGTATAAGGACCCTTTTTTAAATAATTGTGGAGTACAGTATATAATGCCCATTATAGATTTACATTCTTAAATGTTTTAATAATAGGTTTAACAAAACTTAATGCATTAAGAAAAGGCAGTTATATGTTGTAAGAGTATATTTATAGCCTGGGCATTGACTGATAATGAACTGCTAGTTGCATAACAAATTGACAATACAAAAAACTGTTGTCAAAGCTTTAATTAAGTTTATTTCTGTAAATACAGTTTTAAACGGTCGAAAATCGGCATTATAAAATAAATTAACATGCAAACTTGATCATATATTTAAGAAAATTGGAAAAAGAAACAAATCATTAACAACTTAAACAAATATGTTATGTTTAAATATTATGTAGCTTAGACCTAGAATCTGGTTACAAACAAAAGTCCTTAACATTTTGAACATGGAAATGTGACATGGATTTACTCAGAGGAAAAACTTTAAGGCTGTTTGGGAACAGGGGAACTGCCGTGATGAGCTCAGTAGTCCCCCAAATGTTGCTGTGTGTGCTGCCACTGCCACTTTTAGCATAATGGCGTAGTGCAGGGCGGCCTATTTAGCCGCAGAGGTGATTTTCAAAAAGAAGGTAAAAATATAACGGTTAAAAGAAACAAGATGTGAAAAAATTGCAGCAAGCAAGATGTTCTTCCCCTCAGAAAATGACAATTTTAAAATTAAAACTAACAACAATACAGTAACAATTGCAAATAAAGTCTAAATTAAATTGTTGTTATAATCTAAGGCTTAACCTACGATCCAATTGATTTGTTGTGGAGACCTAGGTTTCTATGCCGGAGCATTATCATCAGTCCTAGGCTAAGCTAAACTTTTTGTGTTTCATCTCTTACTTGAGAGATTGTCGGTTGAATAGAATTTTTACAAATATAGACACTGAATATACATCAATATTTACAAAGACATAGTGGAGAACTTAGATGCATGGCCATGATCTTGTCAATCCTAACCTCCAAAGTTGAGACGTGATAAGGATGATTGTAATAACTTCCAATTTTTAGTTGTTAAAGTCATCCTTATCACGTCTCAACTTTGGAGGTTAGGATTGACAAGATCATGGCCATGCATCTAAGTTCTCCACTATGTCTTTGTAAATATTGATGTATATTCAGTGTCTATATTTGTAAAAATTCTATTCAACCGACAATCTCTCAAGTAAGAGATGAAACACAAAAAGTTTAGCTTAGCCTAGGACTGACGATAACGCTCCGGCGTAGAAACCTAGGTCTCCACAAAAAATCAATTGGATCGTAAGGTAAGCCTTAGATTATAACAATGATTAATAACGATCCAGAGGCTATTTCTCCAAACTAAATCAAATGGGTAAACCTTTAAATAGTTGACCTTTTTATTTGTAAGGTTAGTATGCTGTAATAATTGTTGGACACTATTTTTAGAGTCCAAGTATTTTTGTTTTGATTCAAAATGACAAAATAATTAATCCAACTTTTTTTTGATTCCAGACTAAAGTTATAATTGTCTTGTAAGCATAATTTATAAGAAATTATTGCAAAGTTTCAATTCTGTTGGGCCTATGGTTGAGCCCTTAGATAAGAGAACACCAACACTTAAGAAAATGCCCACTTTCAAGCCCTGTAAGTATCAATTCATTTAACAACCTTACATTTCAGCCTCAAAAACAATCTCTAACCCAATAAAGATAGAAATACGAATTAGAAAATAAGGTTTTTGATCAAACACCTTTAAAAGTATAGTAGACTTTAACCAACCTTTTCAATAGACTCTTCAATTCTTCAGCAACAGGAGCAAGAGTGAACTTGAGGATTTTGCTGCCATCCGGCCGACCTAGATGAGAGCATAAGACTACGGATTTGGCTCCCTTGTCCAAAGCATACTTGATAGAATCTAAAGCAGCTACAATACGTTGGTTGTTTGTGATCTTGCCTTCTTTCATTGGTACATTGAAGTCAACTCTAGAAAATAAGAGAAAGGTATGATTAGGCCTGGAATAAATAATTTCGGCTTTGGAGTAGCCTATATACGATAAGAAAAATGTAGTGACTACATAAGAGGTAATTTCCAACAGAATCTCGCCTACCTAACTCCAGGACCCTGGCTCTACAGGCTGTCTTGTAATGCACCAGGAAATGCCAATCTCTACAGTCATTCACAACATTTTGGAATGCCTGTATAGGATGGCATTGAGGTTGTAGACACCGTGTCTAAGGGGTTGTAGACTCTTTGTAGACTTTAAGAGTCGTTCGAGGACCATATCCAGATAGAACAGGATTACCAAAGAGAAGATTATGCTATGTTCTTTCTAGAGGGTTGATAATGATAATCAAATGCTCAAAGATTTGAAGAGGTTTAATTTATTATCAAATAGACCAGTTAATTTTGAAGTTTTACCATCTAAAAAATAGATAGACTATGCAGGAGCCAAAATATATTGATAAGCATGATTCCACAATACTTAATAAAATAAGTAACAAAATTGAATCCAACTTGAATATAGTTTAAGCCTGAATTAATAATGAAAAGACAATAACAGGTTTTACATATACCTCTGTCAAATAGTCAGTTTTGATGTCAAGTAGTTTTGACTATTTGAAGGAGGTATGTAAAACCTATTATTGTCATAATAATATAGTCCAGAGGCAAATTTATATTTTCCACCTTGGTTATTGATACGTTCATAATTGATGTGATAATTAAAAGAATTGCTATAGTTAACAGTAAGTTTTATTTTTAATTTGGCTTGTCTAAAAAGTCAGTGTATTTGATGAGGGCAAACTCTCTCAATGGCTCAATTGAAACTACATATTTTCATTCCGAAATAGGCTACACACAAACGACATGGTTTGTTTAGTTCCATCCATAGTTATGTTTCAATACCAATCCATCCATCCATAGTACCATCCATAATATGGTTCAACGAATTAAACGTCAAATACCGTACTCATAGTGAATGTACTAAGTTACAGTGAACATTAACATAACTTGTAACCATCTGTAAATTTCTATACAATGCAAGTCCATTAAGGGTTTCCTGCAATGCAAGTTTTTTATATTATTAAAGAGGCCGTTTTAAAATATATATCTGCAAGCATTTTCATGTGAATTTCAACAAACTATGACTATGAAATTCAAAAATATATAGGCTACTCAGGTTGCTTGGTGCAATCGAGATCAACAGAGTTAAGTTTTAAACACCGTACTTAATTGAAATAAAAATTAGCCTAAATTACACGGAATCAAGAAACATGACTGATGTGGCTATTCCATTTTTATGTTTGTCTGATGATGAATGACGCTCACTTTAAAACATGTATAAGCTTTCTAACAAAACTGATTTGCGTTGCTCTTTAATTTAAAATATCATCAATATTTGAAAGGCCAGTACAAAAGTCGTTTGGACACCGATGTGCTGTGCATATCAAAATATCCTGAATAGAGGTCTGAGAATAGAATCATAGCCTAACAGTAATGGTAATGATTCTAGACTATAACCTAATCTACTTGAGACTCGGTTACGTTTTAGAATCTTAGGGTAGTGATCAAATTAGGGTGATAATTATGCATACTATTTGATATTCATGAATACTTTAGTACAAATTTTTTTAGGAAAGTAAAAGAAAAAAAGAGTAGTATATGTTTGTCTGTTTGTTCATAAATTTGGGCCAATAGTAGATGGTCAAAATATGGTAGTCTAGATGGTGTCAATCTGTAGAGACAACTACCGGTGTTTCTTCCATAGACAACTGAAGACAGCATGCTTAAAATGTTAACGGTACTGATACCTCAGCACTCCTAGATGACACAGTAAGATGGGGTGTGACAAAGGAGCGCATATAGGCTACAGTACACTAAAAATGCACCAATTTATTTAAGTATGATTTATTTTTCATTACAAGCCTCCAGCATGCTTTAGCTTAGATAATTATTAGTAAAGAAGTTAAGCTCTGTGTTCTATTGGCTGATAATTATAGAATTTTATACAAACTATAGACAAATGCTAATCCCGGTGTTAAATGTGAAACTGTCAAAATATTTTTGGGGTTACCAGAACTCAGAACATAACCTACTTTCCTGGGATCGTTCATAAACACTTAAGATTTATAAACCTAGTATTGGCGTGGAAATGTCTTGTTCATTATTGCATTTTAATTTCATTCATGATCAGCCCACTTGAATCAAAAATCTGAAATAACAAAGTACCGGCTCTCTAAACTTGCTTGACAATTTATGTGGGCGAGGTAATCTTACGTGGTACAAAGTAAAATACTTTACTAACCTCATTAGAACCCTTTTTCCAGCAAGGTTTAATTTATCAATGCTCAACTTGTTTAAAGCCATTTTAGTCAACTGTCCTGAACGAAAGATAGATTACAAAGAACAAGTCCGATATGCGATAAGTTGTCACCTTCAAAGGTTTGAAGTTGAAGGTTATAAAAGGTCAGTTTGACGTAAACAACAAATGACAAAATGCAGACAGCTGTTATTCAATCAACGCCCAACGAATCTACAACAATAATAAATTATCCGTTCTTAAACACAAAGAGGTACAAGTGAACAGTTGTTCAGCTTGTTTTATGTGCCTCATGATGTATAACGAGTCTCTAATTTTAAAGAAATAGACTTTCAGTATTCCAATAAATCCCTTTATAAATAGAATTGCTTTTAAGCATGATTCGCTTATTCCTTCATCTTGGCTCTTTAGTGGAGGTAATAGATTTTGCCATAACTCATTTGACAAACAAACGTAAACTACAATCATAGATAAAACATTCTCCCTTAGTAGAGTTGTCATCCTTATGGAACAGCTGAAGCCAATTTTATTGTTAGTTCTGCCTGGTGCCACTGCCAGTCCTGTTTTATTTACAATTTGTTTCTTGTTATTTCGGTACCTAATTTAAAACTTTGTTTGATCAAATAAAACGATATAATCATAAAAAAATTAACTAGTCCCCTAGTTAAATAACCAAACACTAAAGCACAAATCATTAAATTAACCCTAAAGTCCTAAAGTAACGGAAACAAAATTTCGAAGACACCAGCTATCAGTGTCACCGGACATGAACTACACATGAGAAAAGAGCTTCAAAATTTACAATGGGATAAGGAGTCTTGTGTTGGTTAGTCTAAGCTACAACCTACAATCCATACAAACTGTACAAACGCACTGTAGGTAGGACAACTATTACAGTGGATCGAGTTCCCGTAAGGCTCGCGGGACGATCCATGACGTCATAGTGATGGCACGTTTCCTTTATTCCAGCTTTCCAAGATTACTTCAGATCATCTGCACTGTCTGTGACAGTGTCATAGACTAAGTTATCAGCTGCCTTTGCAAATGTCAAAGTGTCAAATCGCCAAAATTGGTTGTTTATTTAAAATGTATTATATTGATAGTTCGTTGTTATTATTTCGACTTGACATGGGTTAATGTATTGATAGCCTACAGTTCTTGAGATGGTTCGGTGAAATGTATACAATGAATTTTCAAGTAAAAATAACTATATTTGAAGAGTTGGAAGAGCTCTATTTGAAAGCTAGATAAGCTCTCCCTCCATCTCCACTTTTAGGGTCACAAGAAGCTCCATCCATACTAAATATTTTGTATCTTAGCCTTAAAATATGAGATTTAGCGTCAATTCACTCAGATTTCCCCCTTTTTTACATTAAGCTAAATTCCTTTCTACTTCCATTTCAGGTTATGGTTTTAATAAAAAAAAATTTAAACTAAACTTTATATCTTGTATTTCAAAACTAACTTGCACTCTGAGAATGGCTCATTCAATAGCACTCTTTTTTTAATAAAAATTGGCAACAGCTGGCCCTTGAATGAGATTTTTTGCTTCAGTAACCAAAAGTCAATGAAATTAGTAAAATACAAATATTTTACCTCACGCTATACTCTGCAGGTGACGTACAGACGCAGTAAACATAAGATACATTGAATAAAAAAGTTTTTACTTTGATGAAATAACATAATAAATAGAAAACAACATCAAAATGCACTCTCGATATACACACAATCATAAATTATAGTTGTATTCAGTTAAAGGTGGTCGTGACTCAGCTGCTAATCCATAAGATGACAAAAATTTATAAATGAGATTATTTGTGAATGCTAAGATTTAATTAACAAACAATTGCAGGTATTAATTTTAATTTCACATTTATTCATTATATTAGTAAGATTATTTTTAACTTAAGGGCACAGCTGCTAATCCATAAGATGACAAAAATATATAAATGAGATTATTTGTGAATGCTAAGATTTAATTAACAAACAATTGCAGGTATTAATTTTAATTTCACATTTATTCATTATATTAGTAAGATTGTTTTTAACTTGGCACAGGTAGGCCAGAAGATCATTTTGACCATTTGAGCATTTTGGACGGACAACCCTGAATTTGTAGTAGATTTATAGCAATAGTTTTGCCTCGCCAGAAATTCTCTCATAAATTTTGATTAGGTCATGGTCACTAAGCGAGGTTTACACTAGCATCTAGTGCTTGCGAAAGTTTTACTTGCATCCTACTTGCATAACTTGCAAATGTAAACACTAACATGCACGAAAGTTAAACTTGCAAGGCTGACTTGCATGCATTTTTTACTTGCGCAAGTAATATTTGTAATATTTGTTCTGACAAATATTACTTGCGCAAGTAACAACTTTCGCGTAAGTTCCACTTGCACGCCGGCTCCACTTGCCTGTGTAAACACGTGACTTGCAGACCACTACTACTTGTAAGCAAGTGAAGAGAGTGTTTAGTCGTGTGCCGGTGTGTCTGTACATTTGAGTTCAAGGTTAATTTGTGTGTTTGTCATAGTTGTAGTGGTTATTGAGTTGTCATGGTTGATACCCTTCTTGATACCCATTTTCTTTCCCAAAATAACCTTTGTTTTCTTCTCTTTATTTTAAAAAGTTATTTGTTTGCTTCTTCAAAAAGCTCATCACGTAACACACTTGCTGCATCTCTCGCTACAGCCCGAACGTCCTCTATAAAATCCTACAGTTCGCATCACATGTACATACAACCTTCCTGTTCACAACACAAGGCTCTATGAAGAGAAATCCTCATACATGCGTGCCAAGTTTTTTAACGCCCTTCCCCGTCCACTTGAAGTCTCTTCAGCCCAGAAAACTGAAGAAAGAACTAAAGTGCTGGCTGTTACATAGACCATTTTATAGTCTGGATGAGTATTTGTCTTGGCAAGAACTTGAATAAATCATGTCTTCACTGCAAGAACTCTGATCAGCTATTTTTTATTCTTAAAAAAAAATAACAATTTGTATTGACTCTTGTATAACAACTGCACAACTTGTATTGACACCCTTTCAATCTTAAAGATTGCAAATAAAGTATTCTTGTATCTTGTATCTTGTATCATGTAGAACTGCACTGACTGGAATTGAGGCAAGTTCAACCTGCAAAGGTAGGTGTAGTGTAAACCTTAACTTGCATGCAAGTAAACGTGATATACAGTGACAGTAATAGTTTCTGCAAAATAGCAAGTATTCCATAGCAAAATAGAACTCCCGAGACTCAATCTGCCTAATATTCTCTGATCGATATTTTTTAACTTAGTGTCGTGCAGTGTGACACGTATCCAATCAGGTCAGGACTTTGCAGGAAACAAGTCCAAACTGAATGCAACTATGCAACTGGACTCTCCAGTCTCGAAGGCATCACGCCCTTTCGTGAGATTTTGGCTAAGGCAGGGGAAAGATTATTACCAACCAAATAATCGAAGGTTGTATTTTCTTATAGCGTTAATACTGCTTCTTACAATACAGTAATGTGATATTATACTGTTGAATTTAGTTTGCCAGATGTCCAACGTATTCTTCAACACAATTGGGTTTGAACTAACCTCAGCAGGCGGCTTAAAAGCACTATACCCTGAAGTGTTCATTAGGGATTAGAAATACGATATAAACCTTCTGCGGAACCAATCACTTTTTCATCATACAAATTTGACAATTGCAATAGTATTTATTTTCAAATTTGAAGGCATTTTAGGACGTGTTGTTAGCCGATTGAGGTTGTCGTTCAGGATTTTAGTGCGAGAGGAACGGGTTCGATTCCCGGCACATCTATAAAACATATAGGAGTCGGCCACTTGCTCTAAAATAATTTGCTTTACAAAAGTAAAATAAGTAAAAAGTAAGTCCTTTGAAAATGCCACAGGCATGGACAATGACAAAAATAAATAAAAATTCCACGTGTCACAATAATAAATTTAAAACACGTCAAATAATAATTACCTTAATTATTAACTTGAGACCTTTTTATTGCACAATAACATTCACTAAAATGATCAAAGTTGTGATATACAAAACAATGTATGTATAGTTGTTTAATCTAGAACAGTATTAATATTAATATTTAAAATTATGATGCACCATTTTATGTTCTATATATACATATTCCACAGTGGACGAGACCCTCCCTCTGCGCTGAGTTGCTTTCTAATGCTAATTGGGTGCGGAGCTGTTACTGAGATGGATAGCATGGCTCAGGTGGTCTCCTCCCCTCCTACCTCCCACTACCTATTTAAGCGGACGTTTATTTATTCCTCTTATTAACTCTAAGCTCTATATCGTCCCTTTGATCGAATTAAAAATATTCCTCTATTGAGTATTCCCTGTTTGCCAACTCCAAAGTTGTACAGTAGTTGTATTCCCCAAGACCGATACCTAAGTTGCAATTGAGTTTGTTCGCTGTTGCCTGCAAACACACATACTGCTCGTAGGTTGTTGTTGGAATAAAATGACTCTTTCAATAACAATAACTACCCCCGCCACAGTAAGTCTGCAGACTGGGCGAATTTCCATTTTCCTGATTGGATTTATACTAAAACATTTCCTTAATTATGTCTATTTTTTCACTTTTTAAATAGCTCAAGGTTTAACGAGTACTTACGTTTGCTGCTACATGGAAGGAAAATTTTTGACCCTTGAGAATTTCTTAAAAGTACCTCAATAGCACCTTCAATCACTCTTGCCAATCAATAGTAAACTCTCAAGAAGCCTTGCTCCAGCTGAAAGGAAGGTAAATGTAATCCAATAGTCAATGGTTTAATGTTATAAAGTAAAAACACTAAAACTTACAAAAAGATTGTTGAATAAGAATGAAATTATATTGGTATAAAATTCCGCTAGTCTTACTCTAGCCTCCATTATAATGTTGTCTGATCCAGACAAAGGAGATGATTTTGCTATTGACTTGGGTGGATGTAGATTCAGATGCAACTACCAAAGTCGATCACACCAAAACACTGATTAGTTCATTCAACTCATTTCAATTAATCAATTAAATCAATCCCAAATATTTATTGGGAGTGTGGAAAAACCTGGCGTAAAATAATATTCTTAGGGAGCGGGGTTTCCATCAACAATACTCATACACATGTTCAATCCACTCCGCATGCTA